AGCTATGTGACATACTTGTTGCAGTAACCTTAAGGAACTATCACTTCCACTCTCAAGATTTAGTTCCACTCCATCGTATTAGCAGATTGGATGGCCGTCAGCTGAACTATAAAATCGGGGCGTAGAACGTTTCATTGAACGCCCGTTTACGGTTTTCAGCGTGGCGTTTTATTTTTCGATTTCGCTCTGTAAAGAACAACACATGCAGCGCTGAACGATATCGGGAGAATTTCTGCGCAATCTCATCAAGCTGTCGTAAAGTCTACGGGTGATAGGAAAACCGTTCCTGTTGTATCGTTTACAAATGCTGAAATAGACCGGTAGAGTGTTTAAGAAGAAAATCCGATTTGACATTCGCGATTTGCTTATGTAAGATGGAGTATAGCCCTATATATGTGTGTGTCTAAGCGTATATTAAATCATACGTCTAACAGTGCACTCGTGTCATTATTTATTTGTCGATGACGCACCTCACCTCATGGCGACCCTACCAGGTTTCGAACCTGGAGTTTTCTAATCATTGCACAATTTGCCTGCAAGCAGAATATTTTTTTGTTTACTTAGGCGTGTATTAGCGAATTGAAGGGGCTATTCTAGTTATTAAGTGACATTATAATCCTGCTAATATTAAGGTACCTACAGATAATTTTTTTGAACGATTATAATCACTATTATAAAGTAGTAGTATAAAACAAAGTCATCCCGCTATTTGTCTGTCCCTATACATGTCCCTATGCTTAGATCTTTAAAACTACGCAACTGATTTTGATGAGGTTTTCTTTAATAGATAGAGTGATTCAAGAGGAACACTGACATTTTAGAGGTTTCTAATGCGATGTAGAAAACAAACATTCAGCATTGCACCTGTACGTAGCTGGGGCGGGTCGCTAGTAATTTCATAAATGTATTGCCAAAACCCTGTTCTCTTTCAAAATATTTTATGTAAGGTTATATGATGAAGGTTGTATGTAACATGTCCTTAATTATATTTTGCATTGCTAAACTTTGTGCAGGATCGCTAAAAGTAAATGTAAGATGCTTTAAAAGGTACTAAGTGACAGTAAAAGTAAGAAAATTAAATTTATTTTTGTGAAGGTTTCTTCAAAAATCACTTTTGTTAAGCAAATGTTTAAAAAAGAATCCATTTCAATTTTATTATCTGAAATATTTTTTTTTATTATTATTATTAAAATAAAGCCTCTCTAGAGTTAGGGCGTGGAGCTGGTAGATGCATGCTGTATCCCAAAATGTGTTACGTGTGTCATGATCCGATTTCAAAGAAAAATCTTTATGGTTGTGAATGGATGTCCGGATCCGCAGTTTCCTCTGTAAATCTAGTGTGAGATGACGCGTTAGCTTTGAGGTAACCTTATACGTTTGTCCTCAGAGGCGAGCAGATGTCCTAAATCATATATGGCGTTAGAGACGTTCTGGCGAAACGCATATGCTCTACTATGAATATAATTTCACAACACATTTCAGACACGTTTAACTATGAATATAATTAGAGGCTGAAATGAGATACAACTGATAAGTTGAGTTTAGTACTAAATACTATTAAAATAAACTACCTATTTAAGCGTTACATAACTTTCCAATTCGAATAAAAACTTTTTATATACTCCATAAAAGTCTGTTGTATTTATTGGAATTCCAGGCTAGGCAAGTTTTTAAAATATTAATATTAATCCGATTAAAGTCTTGCGGGATTGGTCAATTCCGACCCATACATACCAAACGACTCGTAGTTAAACTTAAATCAAGGCCATAGTAATCGTAAGAAATTAAGTAACGAAATTTCGATAATTTTTTCGAGCTTTTCGAAGTCAAAGTCAAAGTCAAAGTATCTTTATTCAGTATAGGTTTAACTTAAGCTCTTATTGAACGTCAACAAAAAATCTACCACCGTAGATTTTTTTGACGTTCCTATAGCAAGATATATGTTTTATATTTATGTAATTGCAATGTGCACCAGATTTATTGTCTCCCATATTGAAACTAAAGAAAAATTCTTTCGTGAAACACTTTTACAACTGTTCATTCAACGTCGCTGGGGTTGCGTGACCGTCCGGTGTTGCTGCGGTTTAGCACCTTGTAAATCGCAACGTAAAAATACAATGTTGCCACTATGATTTCGGGTATGTATTCCAATTTAAAACGTTTATAAGAAAAAAGTACATTATAAGGTTTTTAAGTAATAAAAATGAATAGTAATACAAATATCTCGCTCACTGTATGCGTTGAAGGTCCTTACCATCATTACCAATACACAAATAATCCAGTGGGGGAGGCCTATGTTCAGCAGGGGACTCAAACAGGCTGAAATGATGATGATGATGATGAAATAATCCAATACCACTGAAATTAATATCAAACCACATGAAAGCTAAACATAGTGCATAAATTATTTTCAAGATCGGTGCATACAGAACTGAGTTATGACGTATCAAACAAAAACAACAGAATTGTAAAACTTCTCCTTTTTTGATGTCTGTTAAGTAAATATTTTAGAAATAATGAATCAGAATCTCAATATTTATATTAGGGAAAGGAAGAATAATATGTTGAACCACTATTTGGTGGAAACATAATTTAATGCTGTGCATAAAACAGTCACCGCCATCCCCCGGCGCTGTTTAACACGCAGTTTAAAAGCCTAAAGGCCAGCTTCACAGTTCAGCCTTCGGACGAAGCTTGGACCGGGGAGCCTAACAGTTTTTTTGTGTAGGTGTAAATCTTAAGGCGCATTTACGATGTTCTCGGTTAACGGCGCAAGCGACCGGATACGGCGAATGCTGCGAAAATACTGATAGAGTATAAAAATAAAACGGCGATTGTTTTTCATAGAATTGGATAGTATTATCGAATATGTATTAAAGGTTGTATGTATTATAGTAAAGCAAGTTAGACCTTATTGTTCCGTAGTAAATAAACGCGTATTTATTATGTAAGAGCTATTGCGATTTCTTCGCAATTGAATACATACATGTATCTAGGCGATGAGATCAAAAAAAATATTTTTTATAAATACACATATAGATAACGATTTATTTATTCATTTGTATGTAATTATCGCTAAATGAAGTACCTTCTCCGAGTTACAATTTATTGGGATCATTACATTACGGTTTACAAGTTCATAAATATTTTGGTTGATGCAACATGACTAGCGAAGATTTTGCATTAAGCGATGTGATCATTGATGCCCAAAGACACCTCAGGCTGGGCATTCGTTGGCAACCGTCAAAAGTATGAAACTCTTCTCAACTTATCATTCAAAACGCGAAGTATATAGTTGTGTATTGTAGTACTTTACAGTTCTTTTCTTTGAGGCATACGTTATATTTACACTACGTTATGCTTCACCAAAAAAAGCCATTGTCAGATGAATTTCAACAGCTTCCAGCCACCTCATTCGGAGCTACCGTATTCATACCAGTAACTGCTGCGTAGCACTACTACGGTGAAACAATTACCGAACTACAACAGTGCCATCGCAGGTTACAAAATCTTGGTTCGGTTCAGGAATACAAATTTGAGGACCAAGTACTAATAACATAGGCAAAGATTAAATAGCCACGGCGTTTCCATGTTGCTTATTACATTACCAGCCACTCCGCTTGCCCCACTTCTCCACGGCAACACATCACCGAATACGCTACTTATAAAAATCATTGTATCTTAAAACGTTAAGGGCCAAGTGTCTAAGAAATATAACTTAGAAGAACTAATTCTCAACTATCCATTAGTCGTTAGTGAAGCGCTTATTACGGCAGACCTCTATCATTTTATTTATATAGATTGGTCTTCCCGTACCCATTCTAGAAGTGTATATTTGGCATTATTAACAACATGCACTTCTATCATATCACGAGCAACAACAAGTAACGAATCTCACCGTCAGAAGTTAGTTGTGGTTCAAATATCCATCGGATGCAGTACATGTTATTTCATGGGTATCACTAATCAGGATATGTACCATTATAAATTTTTCTATTGTCCCTTTTACACTAGTCGGTTAGAAAGAGAGGGACGTCTGGAAAACTGGTGGCAATCGATTCAGAACTTACACCACACTGCGCCATAACAGCCGTGAACAGTAAAACAACGCTTTTAAGGAGATCGTGAAAATTTTAACGTCGCGTCGGCACGGTCAAGATTTAAGGGCGCGGTCAACTTGTATGGCTCATTTTCGTTATGGATGCTTGCTCGCTAAGTATTTATAAATGTATCCACTCGTTTTAAGTGCAGTGTTACTGAAGGTGGCAATGTTTGTTGTTTTATATCGCTACTTATTGTTTGACTTTTTGTATGTTTTTGGTTTAATATTACCCTGAGACCGCATGTAGGTTATATTTTGTTCTATGACTCAACTGAAATGATTTTGAAACAAATAATAAATATTCATAATAAATTAAGTCTATATGATGGAAAATATCATATGGACTTATCACGTGCTCCGCGGTGAAGGAAAACATCGTGAGGAAACCTGCATATTTTCGAAATGTAAACAAAAAATAAATTCGAAGATATGTGAAGTCCGCCAAAAGGTATGAAGTCTAAATATTGGAGTATGTAACAACATTTTCCGCAACCTTTTACATTTATAGATGATTGTCGAGATAATTTAACTTAAGTATCGATATAGGTGAACTGTTAAAAAAAGAGAGCAAAAACACAAAGACATTTGCCAACTTTTTTTTCTGGTAGGTAAGAGCAGAGCAAGTAAATGATATTAGAATTTATGTAATAATTTTATTTTTATATTTTTTTATCAGTTTCGTTCGTAACCAATAAATTCGATAAGTTGAAATACGTAATAAAATTGAATATAAACCGTTGTTAGGTTTTTATTTGCATACGATCGTGTAATGGAATATAAGAAATATATACAACTCTGTAGAAACGTTGCGCATTTGTTAGGATTGTGAAACATGGGTCTACATCTTACATCCATTATTCTATCAGGACTTACGATTTTATTTTTTTGTGACGTTTTTATGGGTATTGTATTTTATATTTTTGACTCATAACTTTCGTCTATTTGCCTGTTAAAATGTTTTGATAAAATCCTAATTACTTACTTAAAACGTAACATTTCATAAGCGTAGAAAATTTAAATATTTATTACTTTTAATAAATGTCTACTTACTTCACTTGAAAATTTTGCAGCTGCTTTTTACAGTTACAATCTTAATTAAGTATATGTTTTGTCGAAAATCTTTATTTTTTTTTGTTTAGGCGTGTTTTTTTGTAAGTACACTTCGCTGTAGGCTTTTACGTTTCAGTTCGAACTTCGGAATAAAGTGTATAAAAATGCTCTCGTGTTGTGAACAAATATCAAATGAATCCATCGGCTAGGTTTAGAGTTTTGTGACACAAACATACCGAAGTTAAATTATTATTTAGAAAGATGAGAAGATGTGTATTGCGCAGGCGGTCTTATTACCTCATGAGGTAATAAGACATGTCAATATAATAATGACATGTCAAGTGATTCCCGCTGCCCATAAGCAATCATTGCCACTATTTTTATGATTTGGCCCCGTATACCAAATGGCTTCTACATCACGTTAGTCTCCTGAGAACCCGTGGAACTTCTTCGGACTAGTCCACTCATAGGCAACAGCTGAAGCTGCTGCTAAGCCCATGAAAAATGTTCTTTGGCAAATATATGTATTTTGATAAATACGGACAGGTACGTTACGCTATTAAGAAATTGACGTAAATTTATAATAATGTAACAGAAAAAATAATGAGAAAGAGAAAAAGACGACTACGATTTTGCACCTTTATTTCATTTTTAATTTCGGCTTTAAGTGTTACATTACGGAGCCTGTACCATCTAATGGAACACACGTGCAACTCACGTGTCAAATTAGGGCCCCTTTTCGAAATGATGTATCCAAGTGACACTCTTTTTTAAATATAAATATTAATTTCACAGTACAATCTCAAGATTTTAAATACTGGTAAGTAAGTATAAACTAATTGCCTAGTAGTTGTTATATGTATATAACTTTAAGGTAAAAAGTAAATAAGCCTAGATAAGATATATATAACAACAATTGTTTAATATAAAAACAGCACTTATAAATCCAAAATAATGATATCTTAGCCGCTTAGATCCCGTTTATCCTTCGTATGAAGTTATTATACTATTGTAATGATCAGAAAACTACACTAGTTTATAGGTATTTTACTTACATAAATCATTCAATGAAATCACATTTTCGGAAATGTTCTGAATCGCATTATGAATACTAATGGAAAAAATTGCATTTTCTTGCAAACTTTTAGTGTTGTATCAAATTTTTGTTTATTCAATATTTTTGCATCCAGGGGACAATTACATCGGCCTAAATTCAGAAGAACCCCCGAGGATCCGACGAACAAAGAAAAGTTAATAGCAAACCTAAGTATATAATTTGTGTTGATTTTAATTCTACTTTAAAGTAGTTTCGAAGCGAAGTCTTAGCGATTAACATTATAGTAAAAAATGGACGGTACAACGTTCTTTAAGTACACCGAAGTTAAAATAAGTATAAGTTATTGCATTTTTTCTAGCGGAGCTAATCGAGGATAGCTGCCTAAAATAAGCATAGCAACATTGCAAGCTTCTGGTTCTGTAAGGGTACGAGTAGAGTGGAGTAGGTATTGACTTACTTGCGTTACGTCTGTTAACAATGCCGTCTTAGGCCATATCGGGGCCCCTAGGGCACACAAAAATATGGGGCCCTGATGGAAAGTAAAAGAAGCGAATAACCAAAACATTTTTCTGCTATTATCTTACATTTTTTTATTAATTCTATAAACTTCTGTCGGAACATATCTACCAAAAATAGAGAAAAAATTGTATAGTTTAAGCGAATATGTAGACATGGGCACGGGCCCTATGTGCCCTTAAGGTAAAAGGTTAAGTAGGTAACTTGCCATCTGTTTAAAGATGCCAATGCAACGGGTCCTCGATTGGCACCTTTCGGTGTTAAGAAATACCTTTGTTATAGGAAGGACGTCAGAGGTACGTCGCAAGGGCAGAACAAGAAAATAAATCTGAGGAGCGGTGGACGAACGAACGCGTGAGTTGAGTCAGATTATGTTATAATTAAAACCTATTTGGAACACAATGGCTTTTTAGAGTGATTAATAGATATCTTTCTCCCTAGATATGCACTGGAGGTTTTTTAGTTTTTTTAATAAACCTGGTTTATACTAATAGTTTTGGTTTTCATGTAACAAGGTGTTTTGTGACAGATTAATATGTATATGTTTGAATCAAAAGATAATTAATGTTTTACATAAAGTTGTAATTAGAGGGAATTAGCAGGAATTAGTGATATGTCTTTTACTTTATTCCGTCTAGTAGTTTCAGAAGCCAGCAGTGTCTGATATAAAATAAAGTAATTAGAAGTATACCAATATTTTACACATAAGAGAATAGAAGAAACGTATAATCTTTACAACCTTTACAGAGAAAAGTATCATGAATCGGATGAAGAATTAAATGGGTACCTAGATCCTTATAACGTTAGTACATTTTTGTATTGATATATTAGTCCACACTTTGTACCTCATTGAAATGACCTCTTTGCACTCCAGATACACGCACAAATGCGCAAGCTGGCATCCAAATTTCCGGATGCAAACATAAGCGTTGAAATCATTGGGCGAACAATGGAGTACAACGACATAGTTCTGCTTAAGGTTACTGAACAAAATGACAAGAAGCGCTTCAGAAGTACAGACGAGACGAAGTACGTGAAAGATGAAACGAGAAGAAGATAATATTCATCGTTCACGGTCTGAGCATTAAGGGTATCCATGAAATTCCATGCCTAATTCGAAGTACCGTCATTCGTACAACTTCTCTCGTTCTACTTTGCTCATTTAGATAAGTTCGACATATTTTTAATACCGATGGTGAACCCGGACGGTATTAACGTAAAGGTGAGTGTTTTATCACGGTTAGCAAAACAATTTTCAGGAAATAAAATTTCTTTGTTAAAAAAGTCTAAAAACAAGCGTAGATATAGATTTAGATAATTGTAACGTATTTATAGATAATTGTAACGTAGATATAGATAATTTTAACGTATCCTACCGAGTGTTTACAGTGGCAAACCTGTCCGGTTAGCCTGTAAACGTTGCACGTTGCAGTCTTGGGATTCGAGCCTACGAAGTTGAGACCGTTAATCCAACAACCCAGAAATAGGCCAGTGAAGTCTAAAATATTTTTATTCGATTCAGCTTCGTTTCGAAAGATTGTTAACGTTACCACTGAGCCGGCGGTTTAGGTAGATCGGGCTAAAATAAACCATCACTCTCTGGATGGGTATCCAAATATGTTTAGATCTGAAATCAATCAGTCCTTAGATTCGTATATTCGTATTCGTGGTAAGTACAATGACCTCACAGAAGACCGGCGTGAAATGGAAGTGTTATACTTCTGCGTCGTCGGGTGAGTGAGATAGCCGGGGCCCACTTTATTATAAGGCATCTGCGACCAAGGGCGGATCCAGCTTTGGTGCCAGGGGGAGGTCACGTAGTCGTCAAGTGATAAGAAGTTATAATTGAATTTTTATAATCTTGGATACAAGTAAAAAGTAGGTACTTATTTTTAACCGACTTCAAAAAGAAGGAGGATATCAATTCGGATGTTTATATTTTTTTATGTAGGTTTTTTCGGGCATACCTTCGTCATATATAGTTATTTTTTCGTAACATTTCGTTGCTTTTTATCTTATATTATACAGGGTGGCTTTTATAAAGGTGTCCAAGTGCACAGGGGGTTCAGACTCGGTAGTATAATCGTTTATTGAAATAAAAACAAACTTTAAAAAAAAATTGGCATTCTGTTCCCTAAAACCAACAACAAACTTGTTGACAATGCGGTAGTCATTCATAAATGCGTCGCATACTTTTGAAACGAACTGGTGTGCGTGTTAGTTATGAATGATCGCGCGTAAAATAAATAGATTGACCATAAATCACGCACTTTCTGAGATAAGATCAAATGAATGTAATTAATTAATTACGAGTGATTTTAAATAATTTATAATTTTTTTTATAACTTTATTTATGTTTAGTATTTAATAAAAAAATGGATACACTTAGAAAAGCCACCCTGTATAGTATTTTTTCAAGTAGCTATTGCTAGGCTTACTTATTTTTGGAATTTCTTTAATTTATTTATTATATATTATATACTATAATATTCTCTTTTTCTCTACTCCGCAAGCTGGCTCCACTTCAATGACAAGTAGCCTAAGACGGAACTATCGGGACACGGGTTAATAATAATGAAAATATATATCAACCCAAATGAAAACTCATTTTAAAATAGCCGTAAACACAAAATCGGCATTCGCGGCCTGACTTATTATTTAAATAAAATTACATCGTCCACATTAAAAAAATGTTCATAAATAACAAAATATTATTCAGTCATTCATTCATTCATTCATTCATAATATTCAGCGCTTCTAAGCCATCTAATCAAAGACAGAATCCACATTCATAACAAACGGAACGAACAAACTTTATTATTAACTAATTCTTTACTGAGTTCATATGACTACCTTCCAGCTCCATCATCAGATCAGACCCTGGCAACCATCTAAAAATTAAGTACTCGCCAAGACGAATCAAACGAGCCGAAACTCGATGGGGTTGAGTCGTTTCATTACAGAGTAGTCATAGGAACCTCACAGAAGATCGGCGTAAAGTACTTCTGTGATTTGTCTGGTGAGTACCTCACTCACGAGATACGATTTCTCCTTATATGGCGTTTTCTCCTTATAAAGAGAAAACGCATCTGCAACCCCTTTTTACGGTAGTAGTGCCACGCAGCAGCCTCAGCTGTTGCACGAATGGGCAGGCCCGTCCGGGTAAGTACCACGACCTCACAGAAGACCAGCGTAAAGGGGAAGTATGACAAAAACTTTCGCGTTTCATCTGGTGAGTGAGGTAGCCGGAGCCCAATTTTCAAAAATTTTCAAAAGGTTGTCAACGCATCTGTAACCCTCGGGTGTAGCAGATGTCCATGGGTGGCGGTATTCACTTAACATCAGGTGAACGAACCATCTGCTCGTTTGGCAACTTTTCGCATAATAAATCAAATTTAATTTGCAAAGACTTGATTTGATGATTTAACATTAAAATATTGTAAAAATATTTATAAAATGAAAAGTACTTGGCCAAACTATGGTAAATTTTATGAGACCAAATGGCAACTATTCTGCATCGAACTAAAGAAGAATCACGTAAATCGGATCATAAATCTCAACGTAATCGGTGTACATAAATTGAAAAAAAAAAATATATTTGAAGTCGGTTAAAAATATTATATTAATTTAATTAAATATTGAAGGTACTTACATAAAATCTATACTGTGGCAAAAAATATGTAAAAACATTATATTTAACAATTTTAATTAGTTGTCTACCTAGGTTCTGGACCCAGCCCAGGGGGGGTCATTACACCCATGACCCCCCCCCCCCCCTGGATCCGCCCTTGTCTGCAACCCTACGGATGTTGCAAATGCCAATGTGCTGCGGTTATCACGTCGGTTGAATCGCCAGCTCGCTTGGCATCACCTGACATGAAAAAAGTGTGTCGAATCGCAGGGAATGTAAAAATCGAACATAATTGACATATTAATGTTGCTTTGACTACTTTCCTAAACTTTATAAACATATTGATAACTTTTAAAGCGAGGTAAACCTACCGCATCATGCTTACACAACATTCAGCAGTAATCTTGATACGATACAGCAAACCTACTGGGATAAGAACGCATCTCCGCAATCAGCTTGTCCAGGAGTGGCCCTAGACCGCAACTTTAATATAGCGTGGAACTCCAGCAACCAGATAAGCTCGTGCAGTCAACTTTATCCAGGTTTAATGCCGTTTTCTGAAGTAGAAACGCAAGTCATCCGAAATATATTTCATTTCTACCATCAAAAAATGATTGCCTACATCAACGTAAAAAGTGGTGGCTATGACACAAACACATTCAAGGTTTGTTATAAAATGATAATGTGAAAATATTTTTTTGTCTCTACAAAACCGAGTGATCTAAACATTTGTTTTTTATTTAGTGCGATGTTTTTGGCAAAGTTTAAAAATGAACAAAATTGGCCAAAATTGCTTATTTAAGGTCCATTGTGGAAATTTATAATCAACTTTCAAATTTAAATTATAATTTTCGTTACAAATACTTTGCTGATATTATTTATGTCAAACTGTGTGACGTGTAATGAACTTTTGCTCTTCAGGGTGATGCAGTTTTGTATCCGAAAGGGTACACTGACGTTCAGGATGATGAAGATTCTTATTTAGACTTAAAGGGGGAAATTGAAGAGGCTATACGGAACGCAAGTTTTCGAAGAATTTCTGTGACGGTTGATACACTGCAAAGCTGGTATGGTACCATCAGCGGCAGTAGCGTCGATTACGCATCAACGGTGAAGTATTTAAATTCTTGATTAAGTTTAACTGTATAGCTGGCGAACGGAGCCAAGGTAAAAGAAGGAATGGCCTGGATCGGCAGGCAAGTGCCGTCGCATTATAAGACTGGCGGAAAGAAGAAGTACTTATGCTGTTGCGTTACAACTGCTCAGTATGGTACCCGGAGTACACACGCGTTCGAGGGCAGTTCCCAACGCCTCCAGCCACCGATTAATCAAGTACAGTCAACGGCCATCGGGGTCACGCTCAGCACCGAACCTCGATAGCCCCTAGGTGACAATCCTCCCTTAGTTAACGCACGCATGAGCACGTGCGCGGCCCTCCACAATGCATTAGCCAGATAGTCCACGGGTTCTGCGCTCGAAGAATCTTTAATAGTTTACGGACTGATAGCTCTAACTTCAGTTACAACATAAAAATAATTGATAATCGGAAAATCCCTCATTAAGGTTGATACAACTACATTTTCACACAAAAAAATTCAGTATAAACATGAAACTATAGCAATGCTTATTTCTGTCTTTGAAAGAAAATTTGAAAGAAATGCGGCTTTTGTGTTCTTCAATATATTCGAGACCGGACTGTCGTTTGCGACTGACAACGAGCGAATTGCCTCAAATTAATTACGTTATTTTCCTACTTTCAGATATACGGTGTGCCGTTTGCGTTGGAGTTCGTTATGCAAGCTTATGAGAAAGAATTCAACCAAGAACTGTTTGTGTATGAGATTTATTACGACTCATTGAATGCCATTTGGGAAAAAATTATTAATGCGGTGTTTAACAGCATATGGAAAAGCACTCAGCAAGCAGACAGGCGATTGTAATTTTTTGTTTGATGTACTTACTGCATGTAATACATCTTACATTGAATTACTAAATACTCATATTTAAAATAATATTTTTTCTCGATCCTTTAGTCAAGTCCATGTAATACCGTGGTTGCAGGACGTTTTTTTTAATCTGAGAAGTTGGCATGCGAGCTGGCGGTGCATCTGATGTTGTGTGATAACCGCCGCCCATGGACATTTGTAACACCCATAGGGTTGCCCTTGCGTTGCCAACTTTTAATATAGTGGGTGCAGGTTACCTCAATCACTAGATAAAACGCAGAGGTATAACACTTCTACTTCGCGCTGGTCTTCTGTGAGGTCCGGGGAAGTACCACTTCCGACGAAGGAAAGGAAAACCCTCTACCACAGTGAACTAAAAGCCAAAGACAAGTCAGGAATTCTCGAACAGCCTGTGAATGGTGACAAGAAAACTCTATTGTTTTTAGTTTTTGGTATAGTAATTTCTTAACAAGTGGTAAAATGGCCAAAACGCGTAATTGTTTTTGATTTTATTGATATCAATATTGCTATATAATCTTAATCACATTAGTAGACAAATAAATTTAATGTTCTGGAACCGCTTTCTTTTTAAGCGTTTCTTAGCGTTTTAAAATGTTCCACCTTATAAGTTGGGGTCATTTTTTCCAATATGAACTCACCTCCACTTGAAAAGAAATCAATTGGTCGATGCTACCTGTCTCGTTTGATCTGAAAGTTTTTGACTGTCGTATGCTTTAAAACGGTAACATTAAAATTAAAGGTGTAAACAAAACTTCATGCATTTGCAAGAACTACGCTAACACTTTCACTTTTATTAATTTTTTTCAAATGTGGCAATATAATATACACAGTAGACTGATCGTACATTTGGTCTAAGTTAATGAAATATTGTTGTATTTGATACTTCACATATTGCGTTGAAATAAACATCTAAAGTTCAATACATCTTATATTATGAAGTAAATAAAATAGATATATTCAAATCCTCACTACAAATTGTGCAGGTCAGCGCGTATGTAAGTGTGTCGACCATATTTTGTCGTCGCTGTCTCTGCATACAGAATTACCCCAAAGAGAGATTAAAGAAAGTGAATGTTTAGTTGTTATAAACGTTAGATTTGCAGTCCGTTATCGTGCTGAGGTTAGAGAAATTTAGGACAATCGCTGGGAAGGGCAATGAAGATCGGTTTCAACTCTAAAAGTTGAATAGCTCTACAAGTTGAATTTTAATCTTTAAAATTAATGTAAATAACATATAAACTCATTCGTAACAGCTAAATATGAATAGTACATATTGAATGTCTTAGACGCCTGCACTGATTCAGCAATAAGTTACTTTTGAAGTAGTCATTTGTAAGAGAGTTGAAAAGTGAAATAAAACCCAAATTAAAAATTGATTGTATTAATTCGACCATCGTATTATCTTTAGGCATTAGCCCTTTGGAATAATATTTAGACCGAAATGATATACATTATACCTATTAGCGCCTCTTCTTGGTGAAAAACAGAATGATATTACATTTCTCTTCATTATTAATCTCAGGATTTTTCTCGGGAATTAATAACGACACGAACAAAGAGCTACTCAGGTCTCGCTCCATCGAATTTGATACCTTTAAAAGCATCTATTGTCTATTATTCCGAGATGTCAAGCGAACAAGTCGGCTAACAGGTCATCTCACGTATGGCTTTACGTCTAAATAATCTCAGGAGCTTAAGAACTAATCTACACAATGTCTGAAGCGACAACCGAACAATGGGAGACCGTTAATGCGTGGGCAGTCTTCAACAACATGGCGGCTGCACCAGTGTCATTAAACCCAAACCGTTCTTGGTAATGGTAACCAATCCAGGACAACTTTGTCACCTCAACTCTGACATACAGCGTGTCGTTACCATAAATGAGCACACGTCTACCGCTACTTGCCAATAATCATAAAATTATTATCGTTAAAAAAGCCATAATTAAAAAAAAAATCACACAAACTAATTAAGTAAAAAAGAAAAAAAAAAATTGTAACATCCTATACAACTACAACTGACATTCGTTGCCACAGCGTCGCATTACAAGCCTCTCCTTCTAACAGTATGTTTTATCTCTTTTAAATTCATTCAACCCATTCATATGCTTTGTGACCTTCACAAATTAACTTTACGTTACAGTTTTATACGTAAGGTGTTCTAAAATTGTTTGTTTTGGAAAATTTAATAACTCGGTAAATATTGATGTTTAAAGAATGTAAATGTTTAATACAATTTTAAAAAGTTATCCTCTATATGTGTGTTCATTTATTGTCGCGATTGTGAAGACACGCTGTATATTTTAGTTTATCCGCAGAAATTTTATTGAAAATGTTTTTTTCTTACTCACAGAAGTTACTTGCATAGGGCGAGTATTTGAGTGACTCAAGCAATTGTTCAAGTTCCCGATGATCTTTTATTATTAATTTGTGTTGTACCACGTCTGTGGTACACAGTTACAGCGTTTATATACTCATGTATATATAAACATAAGACAATGTCAGGCATAATGATAGTTTAATATAAGCTGGTTGTATGTATATAATATAAGTTATTATTATTATAAATGTAGTGTAGCTACATTTTTATTTTTGAAATGTTTTCTTCATGTCTCTGAGATATATATTTTTACTCACATCTTACCACTGGTTAATGAATTAACTTTTTTTCATATATTTTTAAAAACGTTGCCCTTACTGTAGAATAACATTATCCTTTATTGTAAGGACGTTTTACAAACATTTTCACGTGGACAAACACCCAGATCTGAAACAAATATCTGTGGTTCTCACAAATATTTGTCCCGTGTGGGAATCGAACCCACGAGCCCCGGCGCCGAAGCCCATACCTTGGCAACTGCCCAACGGCTTTTACTTAAATTACAATGTATGTATAATTATATTTGTCCGGGTGGAATCTTGCAACTGAATTTAAAATCAGTTATCTTTAACCGATTGAGCTGAAATTTGGTATACACACTTATTTTGGACGACAATGCATGCTTACTATTAATGGTAACGGTAATGAACATAATATAAGCTTAGCCGAGGATACCGAACATCTATCAATGATAGTATAGAAAACGGTTGTAGTAATAAAATCGCCGACCTTTAATCTCTGCAATTTTAAATGAGTTTTGTTCTTATTACTTTATTATTTCTTGGAGTGCTACAAAGTAAATTCATTAATTCATACCTTTAATGTATAGATATAGATAATCAAAATTAAAGTAATTAACTATCTTTGATTGTTTTATAGGACTTTAAAAGTTACGAATCGTTTTATTTCCTAAAATTGGTATATAGTTTCTTGCTGAACGTAACTACATTTTTATATTTTATCAGGTTTAATTTTGATTCTACGTTCCCGACATTTCGAACGCTTTAAAGAAGTCACTAGACGAACTCAGATGTGCTCACGATAAAACAAGTAAATGTTGTTTAGCGATCTGTATTCCTTTAAACACTTGAAGTAATTGTCGCTACTCCACGCCAAGCGTTTCGGTCCTTAATATAATAAGTTCTGGCTAATTAGGTCGACTGTACCGTTACGGTAATTTGGAGGTTCCTTGGCGATGGCGACTTGCGCGCGCGCAGTCAGTGTGCAAGACGGAGCGGCGAGAACGACCGCCCGTGCGCGGCCCACTCACACACATACTACGACCACTCGTCAATTAGTGTAATAATTCAAAAATAGAACGTTTTATTTTTCATAATTTATTTTATTTAAAAAAAGTGACAGATAACATGCGCAACACGATGGCCAGGTTTCTTTTTGTTTTCGGTGAGTGGCTTAATTTAATATTTGGTGAGAGTGTGTGTTAGCTGTACATAAAATAAAATATAAACGTAATTTTAAATCAAATTGGGAATACACAAGTCGCAATATCGTAATTTCGGTGAATATTTCTTCCATGTTGAATTTTCAGTTCATTTTTAATATTGTAACTTTTATTTTTTGTACACAAATAAAACTGATTTATAATTTTCAATAAAAACGTAATAACAAATTCGATTTTTAGTATTTATTTATAATTTTGAAAACAGTACGAATATAATGATTTATAGGTTCATACTAAGAGATATTGAACCAGACTTTTCCATTATCTATTGAACGATATAAAGTGTCAATTTTATCATATTTGTTTTAGAGATGTATGATATGTTTCAATGTGTGATTGTGTTACATGTTTATTCAAAAAAAAATTAAATTTGTGTGGATGTAAATGTTAAATATTGTTGTTTGTTGATTTTTGTTCAGCAGAGTAAAGCTATAAAAAATTTTAGTGTTTGTCGTTATTTCAATAATTTCTTATTCGCCGTAACGGCGAGGCTTTCTCTCTCATTTCTCGTTGTACGTTTGTTTGTTTACATGATTATTCGATTGTTTCGCTTGTGTTACTATTATATACTCGGTTCTTTTTTTATAATTCCAAATATTTTACAGTCCATGAATTTCATAACATTAGATTTTATTATTGATGTCCGATTATTTTCCACGCGCATAGCATGTTGGTTATCGAGCACAAATTATGTGGGAGCGTACCGCTTTTCGCGGATGCAGCAAAGGAAGTGAGAGTGAGCTACATTTCAACTAAATGAGGTTCCGTACATACATGAATGTATTTAATGACCAAAAATGTTTTACTGAGTTAAATAAATAAGACTTAATTTTTTCATTCATTTTAAAAATACATTTTCGTAATTTTTAAAATTATAATTATATTAATTTTTATTGTATAATTTTTCAATGATTTATATTTAGAAAAGAAAAAGGTAATTTGTGACCGGATTATTAAATTAACAATAGATTAAAGCTGCAGTTTATGATTAAATAAAAACAAATGTTTTATTTTAATTAACGTTTTGTCTGGCCAAGGACGTAGGGCGGTAGGGGGGCGGTTATCACTTAGTATCTGGTGATTCTCCAGCTCATTTGCCACGTTCTCACATAAAAGCGGTTTTATTAATAGACTTTATAAACATTTTGACATATTTTTCATTATTATATACACATTTATATTTTTATGGCATTGATTACTTGTGCAAGTCGGTTCCCCTGTACTTTTAACAAATAACCCTTGTTGGAAATTGGAAGCAAAGATATCAGTCTTATGTGTATCCATTTTATCTTTTACCAATGTAATGGAAACTTTAAATGTCTATTAAAAGAAAATGTGCTACCTCCTGTCAAATATTTCCCTTTCGTAACATTATAGTAATTTTTCAAGATAACAATAGTTAATTTCGAAGTTCCTTAATATTTCGTATTTAATTAAATTTGTGAGAAGCGTGTCTCATTAGTGAAGGCTCTCGAAACAATACTTCATAAGAGACGTTTTTAAAAGTGAATGGATCCTTATAATCCGAGCTATCCATCGCGAATTGACGGAGAAGGTTAATTATAATACGGTTTTTTGTTTCACTATCCTTTAATAGTGAATTTTTGTAGATAAAGAGACAAACACTTTCGCTGTTTTTCGGACCACGCTCAGACGCTGTACCAAATAAGCTCTCGACATCTCTACACTTTCTCTATTGTAATTTTAGGAATCATTTGCGCCATCATTGGTGGAAGTCCACATTTTAAGATTTTACCTTGACTGTAGAGATTAGAAAACGAAATAAAACTAATCATAAACCTTTTATAGATGTATTGATAATTAATCACATACTTCATGGTTTACAATTTATTACAATTTAAACAATTTCTGCATGCAACAGTAGAGTACCTACAGTAGTTAGTATAGTCACTCAGGTCGGAACGAAGTGTTATAATAAGTAAATATAGATAAAGAATATTTCGACATATGTTTAAACATTTCCCAAGAAAGCAATCGATTCAAATATTATTTACTAACTTCATATACACTGTAATTTATACAACTCAGTAAGAAGATGTACTACTAAGGACAATAAAATAACAAAATGCAACGTACCATGACCTTAGAAAAAAGAGAAATAACAGCTTTCGTATGTAGTATTGTAACTATGATAAACATACGAAGAGAATAGTTCTTTATTCTCCATCGTTAATTTGCGGAGTTTGAACTAAATCATATATGGTAACTTTGTTTGAATTTATTTTAGTTTCAAAATAGAAAAAAAATAATCATGCATAAATCTTAAACGTGAATTTATCGTTGACATGTCGATAAATTTACGGCGCCGCGGAATTTATACAAACAAATACTCTTAAATACTTTATATTTATATAATTTAATTTTTGCACTTTCAGTATTGAACTGAAATAATTTGGACCAAGGTTACCATTGATTACTCAGTGTGTGATAGTCGTAGCAATTTTAAAGACAACCGCCTTCTACAAGCCAGGTTTGATAAAAGACATCAAACTTTGATTTGAGATTTAAATCATATCAACTTATTTTTAATAACTGTTTAGCCCTTTGAAACATTCTTAATAAAAAATTATTTTTAATATAAAGTAAGGGTATGAAGCACAAGCTGAAAGATGTTTTCAATCGAAGAACGATATGAATATGACATCCAATTATCTTTTAATTTTTTGCTTCCATTCAGTCAAAGGAATTCCTAAAGCTTCCCTCGACTCTAAATTGAAGTAAGAAGTCGTGGTAAATTAAAATAAGTAAGTATCCATTAACGACATCCGACAGGGCGACAGTACTGACGAGAAGAAAATGATTTCATGACACAATATTACACTTTAAAGAAATATCCGGACAAAGAGCCGTCTCCCGTAATTCGGGTTTAATTTTCTCCCGTCGGTCGGTGCAGCTAATTTGAATGGCGTAATTTCGCCTTTACTAAATTAAAATTATCGGGGATTCGTTCGCCCGATCAAAGGGCGGCCTTATTGACGTCAATCGGCACGGAATTGGTCGAGGGCGAAGCCGCATCGCGACGACCGGCCGTTGAAAAGAGACCTCAATTACCCGAAGCCGGACAAACACGATAAATGTCGTCACAAATTAAAGAATTGCCGCGCGCAAATAATCACGGGGAATTGAGTGAACGCTCGACCCGGGAAAATGCTAATGTATTAGAGGTTCCAGGGAACGCACAGGAATCTAAGGACGAAAAGGCACATATTCCATGCCGCCAGCTGCCTTTTTTTCACAAGTTTGGTACAATTTTAAATGACCCTGCCGCTAGAGCTTTTTAAATACATCATTTTTTGTCGTGAGCTGTTTGTAAAGTACTAGTCTTTACAAACAGCTCTTGCAATAACAGGTGCAGCGTATATCGGTTGCTGGTTGATTTATAAAAACAATGAAATCTCTCAAATCCGTACTGTGAAATCAATCAACTGTGATTATAATTTTACCTACCGCCGTCCTCAACATTTTCTTTAATTTCCGTTTGATATAAAAATAAAACACGTATAATATTTTTAATAACATCAAAACTAAAATGACTTCAAACATCTCAATCACACACTTTCTATTTGATTTTGAGGAGTTCCAAGGCGTATCCCCGTTTCAAGGTCGCAATGAAATTAACACCTTTCGCGACACAGAAGTTATTTTTGCCAGTGTAGCATTTTTCAAAAATAAAGGCGAAAGTTTGTATGTATGGATGGATGTTTGTTACTCTTTCACGCAAATAATACTGAATGGATTTTAATGAAACTTTAGAATAATATAGCTTATACATCAGAATAAGACATAGGCTATAATTTATATACATATTTTATGTATCTGTTTTTCTGTCTGAATGTTACGCCTTAACCCTTTTCTACGCAGAAGTAGTCGCGGGCAGCAGCTAGTAATATACAAATGTTTATGTGTTTATTGCAGGCATTCTAGGACTATGGACACAAGCAGGCTGCGGGGAAAGTAACGATAAATATGATAGGTATGTATTGTAAAGTATATTCAACATCGTTTTTTTTTGGTCTATGAAATCAGAATCTTTAAACTGTTACGAATGGACATTATGAAAATTAGTTACGTTATAATAAATTATGATATGAGACAAATGATCTATTCAAGTATAAAGTATTCATAAAAAGCTGACAAACAACTTCATTTAGAATTAATAATAGATGATCAATTTGGGTTTAGATAAGTATATTTACGATGAACATGACGATGAGTAATGACGTCACTCCTCCAAATTTGGAATCCCACCTCAATTTTTAAAATCAATGATATCACATAAGATTTCTTCGGAACAAAGAAAATGTTTTTAACGATTTTTATCTGACATAGACCGCCATCGCATAAGAACCAGAAGGTTTTATACGAAACTAATCAAACACGGAAAACAATTACACCGACCATGACATAATCAATCCAGATACGCTTGTTAGATGTCGACCTTTATTTCATTTTCAAGATTATGGAAAATTGATAATTGAATAAAAGTTTAAAATACAGTCTGCCTGTATCTACATTATTAGAAACAAGATAATTACATATAATAATAAGTTAAACACTTGATACACATTGAAATTGTCACAAATGTATATAATTACAATAAAAATTGTATTAATATCCCTTCAATAATTGTCACTTGAAATAAGGCGGCTATATTTTAACGAGTGAAAATACAACCTTAATTTTCTTTCTTGTTCTCTCTATTTTAGAGATGGTCGCAAGTTTTGCATAAACAAAAGTTTTCAACATATACGATGTTATTTCAGCTACACCCTCTTCAGACTTTACCCCAAAGACGAGTTACAGTTGGATGCCATTAAACTGTTTGAGGACCCAAGTAACAGCATTGAGGTGCTGAAGAAAAGCCGCGGTTTCAATGATAGCACAGACATCCTAGTTCCCCCAGAGCGTTTGACTCTCGTCGAGAAAATCGCTAAGGAAAACCACTTTAATTACCAAGCGAAAAACAATTACGGCAAGTGAGTTATCCATATCTTCGGTTTAAAGCAATGCGAATAGTCGTAACCTTTAGTTCTTTCAAATTTTCAACCTTTAATCTATTACTGAAAGGTCGAGTTTACATTACATGGACCTTATTAGCGCAATATTTCACGGCTGAACTTTGCAATTACGTACCGTGCAGCGAAATGCAACAAGTTTTATGTTTATGTAAAATATTAACGACACCAATGTAATTCGATAATAAGAATAGTTTATGTTTAATTTCAATGATTTAACACCAGCAAAAACAGTGTGAAAATGGTAATATAGTACCAATATTGAATTTAAAAGTACATACTGTCGACAATAATCTCTAATATTTACGTAAGTAGTTTTGTAAATATTACAGATTATACTGCTATTAACCTGTCCAAGTTTATTTGAATAAGTTTCATAATAATCTTTTAGCGATTCATATTAAATTATAGATTACATTCTTGACATACCTTGGCGAATGAAACATGGTGAATTTAATTTTCTTTCTTTAAATGTTCTTCATACATATATTTTTGTTAAGGTCATTCGAGTCTATCGAAAGGGAGCCAAGAAGAAGAGTACTGCGCGCGTTCAACGTATTCGAATATCATTCGTATGCATCCGTTAGTATTAAAAATATTTTCTATTCATACTGTTTATATACTCTCTATCAAAGTAATGTTTCGAGCTTTAAAAAAAAATAATGAGGAATGGGCTTGTGAAGAGGACGAATGAAGAAACAATGAAAAATGCTAGAATTTATAGTGATGAAAGTATTGGAAATGTTTATGACGAATTTATCTTCACCAGCATTACACAACTATACACTCTAGCCTATACTACTCTATCTAGATCGCTTAAAATGAAAGAAATTTATGAAAAAAATCCATGTTTACCCGTAAAGTCAAAAAATAGGTCAAAACATGTGTTTTTTCAGATTCAAGAATTCATCGAATCCATGGCAAGCAAGCATCCAGAGTTAATCAAGCTACAGCCTTTAGGCTTAAGTTACCAGGGGCGCAAAATGAAACTTGTGAAAATATCACAAAACCATAACGCCGGGAACCCTATCATATTTATTGATGCAGGTATGGTCTTAGAGTATAAGTTTACATCACATTTCACATATGCATTACCATTTTATTCTTATTTAACTATTTGTGTTTTGCTATTTTGTATTTCAAAATGAGTTACTGGCGCAAGATTTCAAAAGGGATTCAATTAATTCCGATGACATCCGACAAACGCATCGTGATGATTTAAACTATAAAGAATTACCTTGAAAACAAGTATTACTGCAATAGCGAGCAAAAGCGACCGATATACGATGCGTTCCGACGGAGATCCGCCGTGTGGGGATCTTTACTAAGCAACTGGTTCCAGGCATCCACGCGCGCGAGTGGGTGGCTCCCGCGATGGCGCTGTACCTCATTCAGCGGCTGGTCATGGACCCCGAGGCGAGGAAGTACGACCTGCGCGGCGTGGACTGGTACATCCTGCCGGTCGTCAACCCTGACGGCTACGAGTACACGCGCTCGGGCAAAACTGTGAGTTCCACCGATGACTTATTGATTTAGAAGTACCGCAGTCCTTTGTTAGAGTCAAAGTCAAAGTCAATTAATATGAATCTCTAGTAGTTTGTTAGAGTCGGGAGTTAGTCCCGAGTTGGAATGAAGGATAGTTTTATTGTTTCGATTGGGACAATGCCCTTTAATACTGACAATAATTTCGTTTCGTTTTAAGCAATTTAAACAATTTGTGTATATAAGGATTTTCTTAAATTTCCATGTTGTTATTTTTTCGCAGTGTATTTGTAAGCACCTATCGATATCCATTTCCTCCGTTTCATGCATCACTTACTCATTACGGTTGTCTTAGAGCCAAATTACACGGCTAGTAATACATACTTTGCAAATTATCAAATTGCAATACGGCCTTGCCGGGTAAGGCATCATCTGTAGTATTAATTACCGTCAGAAAGGGCCAATAAAAGTTTAGACGTTTCTATGACAATAAAGGAAATCTCTTATCGCAGCACCGCATGTGGAGGAAGACGCGATCTAAAAGCGCGTTCGCTGACTGCTACGGCGTGGACGGTAACCGGAATTACGGATTCTATTGGGCGGTCAGCGGCGTCTCGAAGAACCCCTGCGACACGGAGACGTACGCCGGCCACAAGCCGTTCTCAGAGCCGGAGACCCAAATGGTGCGCGACGTGATGCTGGCGAACGCCGACCGACTGAAGCTGTACGTGTCATTGCATGCGTACGGCCAGTACTTGGTGTACCCGTGGGGCTACACGGCGGACTACTTGCCCCAGCAGTGGAAGAAGCTCGACGAACTCGCTCGCAACGTCTCCGTGGCCGTCCAAAGGGCTGGAGGGCGTCCGTTCAGGGTCATGAGCGCCGGCCAATGGTACCCGGCCGCCGGCGGCAGCGATGACTTCGCTTTCGGCGCGGTCCATGTGCCCTACTCCTACACGATGGAGCTGACAGACGGCTTCGAGTTCCTGTTTCCCGAAAGCCACTTGTCCACCGTGCTTCCGCAGTTCTACGAAGGTTTCAAAGTCTTCGGCTCGAGGATCAGGAACGAGTTCTCGAAAAGACGCTGTGCGAGACACGATGACGTAGTTGGGAATGACGATGACGTGGGTGACGTTGAAGGTTGATATCGCCCCGTTTCTCCTGCGAAGCCATTATAATAAAGCCCTAAACATTTATTGACTTTTATTTTTATTACCTTTTTTACAACTGATGCAAGTATTATTGGCGTACGAATCCATTGCGATTCAATTACAACGAGTTTCGGATAAGCAAAGTAAGGAAACATGAAAGGCATTCTGGAAATAGTCTGTTTCTATTTTATCGGTGAGTCATGATACAATTTAATTTGTTCACAATTAAAGCTGGGTCTGTGTTAATACATCTATCTTGTTTTAGCTACTAATAATGTCGTTTTCGTGCAACATTGTGGGTGCGTATTTTTATGATTTAATTTTGCCATTTAATCACAGAATTTTTTGTATTGTTCGATAAAAATAATGCCCGTCATATCACGAACTGATATGATAAATCGAAATAACTTTTGTCAACTACATAGCTTATAAACTGCCGTTGCACTAACTTCTTTGCGTTTTTAGTAATCAGAGTGAAGACTTTAAAATGCCGATTTAAATCTAACTTTTATTAAAGTAACAACAAAAACTCAATAAAACACTATTTCAGAAGACCATTTGATGATAATGTTTAAACATTGTATCGGCTTTAATCGTTACTAACATTGCCGAGTCCGTGAAATAGTGCCAAATGAACAAAATTCGTATTTTAAAATTTGCAGAAATATGAACAGAAACGAATAGCACTATAATGTCATGTACCAAAATCGTAGTGCTTTTGTAACATTTGTTATGAGTTTCGGTATTGCAGATGTAGAGATATGAACCCGTGTTATAAACGAATGCTGGAAACGTTACTGGACGACAACGAGGAGCCATGCGTCGAAAATTCCGAGATTGGCACCATTTCCGTGAGTAAATACACTTTTCCGTCGGCGGCATAGCCAAACAGCGGCTGCTCGTAGAATTTTTTTTAAAAGTTCTCCATTTAATAAGAAAAGCGGTAATTTTCTATAATATTAGTTGCGATAATGTACTAGTATATTAGTTACTTAGTAGGTGGAACAAGGGAATACAAAAATTGAAGAATTCAAACACCGACGGCAAATCGACGGCGCACATAGTCAAGGTTTTTGTCTAATTAACATACTTTTACTTATGAATTAATAATTATGAATATGAACGTGAAAAGTCCACTGAACATAAATGTTGTTATTGTATTCACTAACTTGATTCGATTTCAGAAATTAAAACATTTTTCGTTTAAACTAAACGGAAATACATTAGTGTAACCTTTGAACTTGTTTGAAGCAGATGAAAACAGAGTGTTATAACTAACTAAACTTTTTGATGTCATTTTACAAAATTGCAGATAACGGTTTTTTTAAAAGCACTGGAAGCATTTTGTGGTAAAATTGTAACAGTGTACAATCAGAGCCTAACATATCAAAAAAGAAATTTATATGAGGTAAAACTATCTTAATGTTCTTGTACTTTTATTTTTCATTGAATTTTTAAAGATTTATTTCTATTAAAGGCACTGAGTAAAATAAAATTTACAAATTTCAAAACTTACAACAGTGCAAATAGCCTATTATTTATAAGTTGTCTTCACCTTTTTATATCTTATAAATTATTCAAAATTTTATAATCTCGTTTGTATGCAATCCAATTTGTTTCTGCGGTAAATATTTGTTATTTTATTGCACTTGCAGGTTGTACTTGACCGTAATGACGATAAAACAACGACGAGAAGCAATAAGCCAGTGATTTTTTTAGACGCTGGACAGCAAGGAGGCGTGGAACCCGTGAATTTTGCGCTGATCATAATTGAACAGCTTGTCGGGTGCAAGGAACACAATGTAATGTCGAGGAACGTGCGATGGGTCATACTCCCCAATACCAATCCAGATGGGCGGGAGTTTACCAGATTTGTCAGTATTTGTGATGTCTTCTTAAATGCATCAGATACTCCTTTTTCACGAAACAGTTCCTATTATTAATTACTTCTTTTATTCACAGAACATAATGCCGTGGAGGAAGAATGTACGCCTCTCCGACGATAATAAGATCAATGGTGTGGACATCACTAGGAATTTCGACGATTCGTTCCACGACTGCGGTCTAATTACCAACGGGTATTCCCCCGAGTTCCAGGGTAATAAGCCGCTGTCCGAATCGGAAAGTGTGTTCATAACAACCGCACTAAACAAATACAAGAATAAACTGAGGGCATATTTGTCGATAAGACGCGACGGGCACGCGTTGTTGTACCCATACGCCAGCACCAACAACACCGCTCCGGGAATATACAAACTGCAGGAGAAGGCTGCCGAAATCGTGTCAAAGGTGAACCACAAGTCCGGCTTCATAGAGATGTTGGTGACCACCAGCATAAACGAGATGAATGGTAGGCCGCAGTGCGGTCACAGCGTGGACTACGTCTTCAACAAGTTCAACCAGCCATACGCGTACGAGATGCGGGTGTACCTCGAAAACGATCATCGGATGATGAAGAAATTCCAAGCCCTTCCCCGCGGTTACGACACGACACTGAAAGTGGGTTATCTGTCCGTCATAAAAGAGCTGTACAACCTCGTCATCAGCGAACACAGAAACAGAACGTTCGCCAAGCGCGTTATTTAACGGGCACAGTTTAAAAAAGCGTGCTCTTTCACTCCCACGGACCGCGCGCTGAGATAGTTAATGGGCGTTTATAAGGAACAGGAGGCGGAAAGGAAACACGGATGTCGGTGCTGTCGGTGAATTGGAAAATACAACGAAAACGGGCATCGGCTGCGAGGTTTGCAACTGGGTCAAAATTATGTGCCTACGGGTGTCGGCGTCTATTACGATGTAATATTTATTTAGTACATAATGGTGTATCTACGTTGGAGGAGTCACTTTTCCACTTTTCGGTAGGACGTCGGTCATGCGCGCTGGTGCCGGCGGATAGCGCTTGTGATAGGGGTGGGGCTCGGTACAGTTCGGCCCGCTGGCATTCTGTAGCCGGCCGCGGCGGCGTCACCGCGCGCCTCAAGCCTCTCCTCATTCAGCCTTCAGCCCTCCACGAGAGCTGCCGCCCGCGTTCCGAACTCTTGTCGCCCGCGTTCCGATTTTTCTAAGTCGCTTAACCCTCCCGACGATGTTCTCGACTCGGTCATTCCGCGTTGCCACCTGGCTCTCACCGGTCGTCCCGATATTCGCTAACTTCGTATTCTTTTTCATTCCTTCGTCCGTTTGCTTTCTCCTTTTTTATTCTTTTCTCTCTCGAATTCTTTTTTTTTTAAATGAAACCACGAAACGAAACGAGGTTCCGGTTCGGTCGCCGCTGCGTGTCGCGGGGCCCTACGAAAGGTGAGTGTCTAACTTTCCGATTTCAGATTTTCCGCCGTGGCCGCTCTGCTGCCGGTGCACGAGAGGAAAAGTCCGCCGATGGGCGGAAGGCGGTGCCATCGGCAACAGGTTGCGACGTGGCGACAGGCCGCGGCGGCTTCCACTCCGAGATTCTCCCCCGCCTTACTCCTCTGTTTTTACCCGTTATAAGCAGATAGCAGCGTTTCGAGCTAATTACCAGCGAGAGAATTGCGACGTTAAATTTGTTGCCATCTTCAGCGGCGGGGCGGGAGAGAATATTTATTTTTGTCACGTATAATACAGACTCTTCTCGCGTTTGCACGTAATTCGGCAATTGGAGGCGTTTTAAAGTTTGTCGTTAATTTTTCGCGTCGTTTTCAACTCCGGTTTTCTTTATTCGATTATTTTCGATGTTTTGCGCGAGATAAAGTATATTTTTGTGTAATCTTGCGAATTTGCGACTTGCTTCCTTCTTTCTATTCAGTAAAAACGTTTAAACTAAATAATTATATTCTTTGTCAGACTAAGCGTTACCACTTTAATAATAAAATCGTTCTTTATTCGCTCCTAACTTATTTGGGAACATATTTCAATAAATTAATTTATATCTTGAAATAAAGTTATATCTTTTAAAAAAAGATAAAACATAAAATTTTTAAATAAAAGTAAAACAAAATATATAGTTTGATTTCGGAGGGATTAAAAGTAACTTTAATACGTTAAGAAATTAAAAAAAAATAACTTAGAGAAACATTATGTTTCATCAAATAATATTACAAAGATAGTTTTTAAAATTCATATTACTCTCTTAAACATTGGAATAAACTTGTTTTCGAAAAGGAATCTCATATTTTTTCACATTCAATTGTAATATTATAGACTCCCGACGGTAAGGTTTAAAACAACAAAAATTAAAAACAAAAAGGTACGGTATCCCCGGAAATAGTTTAATACGATTAACTAGTGTTATTACAAAAATTTGCTAACACAAATACCGTTAAAACCTTGTAAAATTTCGTAAAACAAAAGAAACATTTAACAAGACCGTCTAAAGTGATGGTAAACTGGGACATTTTAAGTGTATAAGTCTCGAGAGATATCCTCGGCGCAATATTCAGTATTTCGAACTAGAACTGCTTCCAAACGATGCGTTGAGACGGTTCAAAGCCAACCAGGCAAATCGCAGGGAGCTAGGGCCGGTATCAGCTCGGCGTATGACGTAGGCCGAATAACACGTATGGGGCACTTTCATAACCGAAGTTTGGAGTGTTGATAAGGACAGTGGGGATATCGATCGCGCTCATTAGCAAGTCCGCGCGCATATCGCGTTGATAAGCGGCCTATGCGGGCGCTTAGGGCGGTGCCCACATGCGCCTAAACGATTCGCGCTACCGACTGAACTGTGGCGAACATTTAGCGCGCTAAATAATAAAAGCGTTTATCCGTCAATGTTGGCTACAGATTTAAATTTTGAATTCGACACGATTAGCACGCGGTCTTGCGCGCAAAAAAGGAAGTTAAGAGAAATTATCGATCGAAAAGAACTTTTGCTCGGAAAATAAAGAATATACATATAATAATTTATTGGTGGTAGGGCCACGCAGCAGCCTCGGCAGTTGCACGAATGGGCAGGCTCGTCCGGGTAAGTACCACGACCTCACAGAAGACCGGCGTTAAGTGGAAGTATAATACTTTCGCGTTTCTTCTGGTGAGTGAGGTAGCCGGAGTCCAATTTCCAATAAGGTTGTCAACGCAAACCCTCGGGTGTAGCACATGTCTATGGACGGCGGTATTCACTTAAAATCAGATAACCGTCTGCTCGTTTGGCAACTTTTCACATAAAAAAAAATAGGCCACTTAATGGAAAACGCTACTAAATTAAATAAACCATCAAGAACATTTGTCTAGCGAGTTACTCGAATTATACCCCCATCACACCGGCTCTTGCGCGTAAAGATTGTAGTCAAAAATATACGGCTTCGTTATGACATCTCAATCTTATCGATTGAAACGGGATTTTTTATCACATTAGGACGAATATGAAATATCTAACATAGTACCTAAATTGCCCCATATTGGGCGCCAGAACTACATTACTTATGGTTCAGTTCGAAAAATTTAAAAAACAAGACAATGGAAGAGTGAAGTTTTGGTTCATCCATTAACCTTCTACCTTATGTTTTAGGGAACATTACTTTTTGTGTTACATTTAATAAATATTCAAACGGACACTGATTTTTAGGGTTAACCGAAAATCATTTAGTTTTTCTAGCGGGTCTTAACTATTTAATCGGCTCTTTTCTTTCTGGTCAGTTTGTTTTCATTTTAATAAAACTATAACTATAATAAATGGAGACATAAAAGTGCTGTAAAGACTTGCGCCTTTAGAGACACTTACCATCATCTTCTCTTATTTTAGGTAAAATATTGCTATAAAGTCGGAGAAAACATCGTACAGATTTTCGCCGACGGGGCGATAATATACAAAAATCAATTCGATTGCCCGGATGGCTCAGTGGTTTTAGTATCCACCTTGCTTACTGCCGCCGCTCGCTGCGATGCAGATTCGATCCCCAGACGGCAAAAAATAATTCAACTCATATATAGTTTTCAGGAATCTTTGCATGGGTGATTACGCCTCCCGCGAAAAGGTGGTTATTTCGCAATACCAGAATAAGCTAAAAAAATATCGACGCGTTCATTGGTACAGTTGAGATCGAACCTAGGACTCTCTTTCCAGTTGCTGAGTTATTAGGGCTACTATATGAATTTATTCCGACCCTAGGAGAATCTAGTAGAATATAAATAGATATATACAGGACGGTTCAGAAATTAGGATTAGGTTTTTTGTATTATGCATCTTTGACGACGGGAAGATTTTTGCGTTTGAGTATTTTATTTTCGTCAATTTTTAAAGAAAATAAAATACTCAAAGGAACGAACCGTAATTAAAATCGGAATATCTTCTACTATTTCTTCTACTTGCTCTGACTTAATTAATTAAAACTCTATATTATATGAAACTATTTCTTCTTCCACTATCGAAATTCTCTCATCAAGGACTACCACGACACTTTCCAATGAATACATTTAGGGTATGATAATGAATAATGATTAATAGTTAATTTAAGCTACGGAATCCTAAAAGGAAAAGCGATTTGACGAAACTTTTTACAATTGAAGGGTGTTAATGAGGTAGTAGAGGTAGCAGTTGTCTCCTTCGGCTTTAGAGTTTTTATGTAAGAAAGAAAAATTAAATCGTTCAATCTTATTATTGCGCTGGAATAATAAGATTTTTTTGATTTTGTTTTGTTAGAATTCAAACGCAAATCCTCAAAACATTAACATTACGAATAAAATTTTAAATCATGAATTTTTTAGAGAATGTCTATAGCCGACGGACGAATTTCCAAGTCGTAATTAAAAAAGGATTTCCAAATTATAGATGTTAATATGGCTAAAAACATTAGGCGCAGTACGTAAACGTAGGTATCAATTAAAGAGGATATTTTAAAGTTTTAGATTTCTGCAATTATATATTAAAGAAAAATTATTGTAAAGGAGAGAAAAAGTGCTTTAGTAAGGGTAGCTGATAGAAAACTTTTTGGTTCGAAAATTAACCAGAAGGACTTATATAACTATATTAGTTTATTTTTATTTGCGAATTTCACGCTGGTAACATCCGTCATGGCGTAGAACAAAAAAGAACAGTTACCGACGGCTTTGTGCATCGACCTATTGAAAGTGAATTGTTGAATCAATTTTTATGATGCTTTGGCATTCAAAATTAGTTCTGAAGTGCCTTGGTAGGCTATAATTTCATCAGTACACTTACTTTTTAAAGAAACATTATCTAGAGTTTTCACTCCCAAAATGCATAAATTATGACAAAATTGTTTTTGATGGCGAAGAATAAGACTTCCTGAAATCTATAGTTTAAAATATCATCCCTACAAAATTTCAAATGTATAATTCTTATGGGCTTGGCGACACGCAAACTAAAAAAAAACCAAATATTTTTAAATTTATTTCGTTAATATAAGTTGAATATGATTTTGTCAAACTATCTAGCTTCAGATAAAGACGTTCTTTTAAGGTACCAGCTCATTTTAAAACGTACAGCTCCATTTTTAGTTCTTAGCTTGATATAAATATTATGGACCTTCGCAACATTTTGATGAGGTCCGGTAAGAAAATGATAAGGTTGTTAAATCGGCAGGTTTGGGTAAATACGAATCCCAATCACGACATTCGCAAAACGTGATATTGAGATTTAATTCATGAAAATTTTGAGATTTTTCTATGAACATGCAATAAATCCGGATTCAGAGTTTTAAACAAAGAATGGAAAGGTCTTGTGTTAAATATTCGGCTAAGGCCAAAAGTATTGGTTGAAGATGGAATTTAATTCGGGAGGCTGCCAATGTACGGTACTTACACTTGATGTCAACCCCTCTCACTGTAACGATACTTCAAAGGGTATTGTGGGTCCGATATTTAATATGGCGTGTTATATATTAGTTGTTACTTCTTGTTTTATCTTTTGCGGATAAATAGCGTCAAGCTTTCGTATTACATAATACATAATACCTTGGAATATTGTTTAAATGTTAAAATTATTGGCAAAGATTAGACACTCATCGAGTTCATCAGTTCAATATAGTTTTCAATACAGAATTATTATTTAAACGGAAATCAACTGTTTTTACGATTAGTTAGGGTTTCCGTCTAACACAGAGACGTAGCTAGTTTTTATGCCAACCGCTAGATGGCGTGGTTATTCTTAATCGATTAGAGAAATTTACAAATCGATGGATCAAATCGTTTTATTAAACAAAGATCGATATAAATCATCGATGAATATAGATGTGTATAAATAAAACGCAATAGCAACATTTTAGACAACATAAACACTAATAATATTTTTAAATGGTCTCCGAAACGCTTATAAAATTAATGATAGACGGCCTCTTTATTGAAATATGCCAAATACAATCGGTAAGATATTCCAGTCAGATAAATATTTACAGTATACGAGATTGTTGAGCCAAACTTAAATAGTGTATCTTATAGATCAAATAATGAGAAACATAACAAAATCGATACAATCTCTACGTAAACTAGCCCAGATAAACTCGTCTTGGGTTTCTTTAATTTAGTTTACAAAGCGGGCGCACGTAACCCTATCTGGATGCGGGGATATTAAAATTTCGAAGCGCTCAAACTTACCCACCTCGCTTTTAGTGTTTATTACGTCGGAAAGTTGATGAAAATTCATACAGGTCTAAGTTCTAATGAGGACCGTTCGGGGAAGTTGGCCCGCGATCCAGCTATCGCTTGAGGATATCGCACTACGGGTTTTTGCGAAGAGCGTCTGAAACAGCATCCAGTGTTCGCTCTTCCCCAAATTAATTGGAGAGTACTTTCAGGTATCGATTGCCGTTACAAGCCGGCCGCGGCAAACAATGCCGCTCATTCGTGTGTCGCGTTAAGTTTGATTCTGCGGAGATAAAAAAAAATTGTACGCTTTGGGAATGTCGGTTCAATTCCTCCTGTCTTCGGCTCGCTAATATTGCGTTCTCCTTTTTTAGGGTTCAGTACCCAGATTGTAAAACGGAACCCTATTACTAAGACTTCGCTGTCCGTCTGTCTGTCTGTCTGGCTGTATGTATCTCATGAACCGTGATAGTTAGACAGTTGAAATTTTCACAGATGATGTTTTGATTCTATTTCTATCTACAAACACTAAAAAAACATTATAAAAATATTTAAGTGGGGCTCCGAAACAACAGAGATGATTTCATGGCGTTTTTATAGATAATGGTATAGAACCCTTCCTGTGCGAGTACCACTTGCACTTGGTCGGTTTTTTTGAAAGCATGATACTGAATATGTGTCGTGTATAGTGTTGGAGTTATTAGTTTATTGTGACTAAATTCAATCATCCCTCCATATTAACCTCACTAATTTTTGGTTTGCGATTGACATATTAATCAAAGTATCAATTTTGAAGTTCAAATTCAATTTATTAGGTGAATTTTTAAAAGCAAGTTTATAATGACCATTGCTTATTTGGTCGTTGTGATACACTAAAATCGTTTTTCAGTCAATAAAATATTAAGATGAAATTGAATAAATAAAATATAGCAATGGAATGTCGCATACTATGTTGTAGTATGGCCTAATAACCCCATACAGAATAGGCTTATGTCTAGTAGTGAAACGTATATAGGCTGTAAATTTACTTTTTTAACGAAATTTGATGATTGATACTCATTTCGATAAGCACATAATCATAAAATCTTATTTGGATGCAAAATAATCTGTTTTTTTTTTTTAAATAAAAAGGTCTCCTTTTACTGTGATAGGGGGTTACACTTCTGCGTTTCGTCTGGTGAGTGAGGTACCCGGTGCCCAGTTTATTAAAAGGTGGCAACGCATCTGCCAACCTACGCGTGTTGGAAATATCCATGGGCGGCAGTTATCACTTAAGATCAGGTGAACCGCCAGCTCGTTTGCCACTCTCTCACATAAAAGAAAGTCTCTTTTATTACTCCCTTGTATGATAGACGGTACATAGAGACATACTCCCACTGGATAGAAACGGCGAGCCTTTCGCATAAGTTTTTAGTAACCCATCAAGCCTTCTTCCTTTGTCCGAGTCGTGTGCGGTTCACGGACCTTGATCTTTCATAAATTCCGTGCTAAAGCAAAGAACCTTTACAAGAGTTCATTGTTATCCGGTACGTGGCTGCCTGCCGACGATAAATTGGCGCGAAATCCCCGAGACACGAGACAATAAGAAACGGCGCGGTTCTGCGGCGGGAGACATTAGCCCCGTTGTTATTCTAAGTGGATTAAGGACAACGCATTTCGGATCTGGTTAAGCTTGAATTCCAACATTAATTCTGACAGAGGGCTTACGGGAGAGCTGCACTCTGCCTCCGCCCCGCTCCCCTGCGGAAATGTCCCATGCCACCCCTTAATTCTTTTAAACGAAACGCGCAAAGTTTTAGATTGAACAAGGAAGGGATTATTCTGCGATCTCGCGGCGGGAAATCGATGCGGTGGGCAATCGAGTTGTTGGTTACGATCGATTCAATCAATTCAATCGAGGCTTATTGATGCAACGCACCTGCCACCCCCAGGCGGTCGTGCGTCACGTGCGATGTTTGCGCGTCGGTTTGGATCAACGCGGGGCGCGTTCCGACAAACTCATTAGATAAATGAAAGAGTTTACAGAACCCGATGATGGGCCCTGTCGGGTCGCGCCAGCCCGCTATGATTGATCGAGTAGACGGAGCGGGGAAACAGGCCAACTTATAAACGAACGGGGAACGGTGGAACGTCGCGGCTTCGCATTACTCATTATTCACTCAAGTTGAGTATGCTCCGTGTGGTTTGCTACGACCACCCACGTTATTATGATCGTTCGGTGTAATGAGTTAATTTTACTCGATATCGGTTAGGGCTTAGATGATCATAATTGATACATTTGTTCATAATGTATCTTGTTTATTGAGTTCTTGATTAATATAATACACATTCTTATTTAAGGATGAAGAGCTTTTTCTTGAGGTTCATTAGAAGGAAATGATAAGGCGAGCTAGTTGGGATAGGAATGGAGCACATTTGTGTCTACCATTCCGGTAGACAAAAATGTGATTCCGGAGGGTCCGCGGTCAAATCATGTTTGTTTCATACATTTTTCTTACCAAATTCATCTGAAAGTGATGCTGAAATTGGCCTTAACTGTACTGGGATTGGAATTGTGTTATCCTTTCATAAAATTATATTGCACCATTTTCATATCAATATATCTCGAAGTTTTGATAGACGTCGGCTATGGTACAGATTATTTCGAGGAACAAACCATTCCTTTGTTTATTTAGGCTACGTAAACATCCACTCACTACTTCGCATTATTGACGGTAAGCACATATTACTTTCGTGTGTTATTATTACACGAAACTCATATCAATTCCGTTGAAGGGATTTTGACAAGTGGGGCTCCTTTATTTACCTGTTCACTAGAGGTATGCTCTATTTTAATAATAAGCCGCGGATTCTGCGGGCCTCAATAAAACGTGAAGAGTCGGGCGTCCCGGGGGTCAAAAATTCATGACTGTGTCCGGGAACAAATGACTTCCTACTCCTCAAGTCGGGACCAAAGTTGCCCACCGCCCGGCCTCTTGCGAAGTAATAAAAGGAAACTACCCCAGACAAAGTCAATGAGCACGAGCGCGTCCTTATGTTATACACCTGTAAGCATGTTCGGGGCTCAGAAGAGGTGAATGAATTGGGAATATGGAGGGATCCGTGAAGAAACTTAGTTAATAATGCATTAACAATCCACCCTAACGCTACCGCAGCGGCGCTTATACCGTTTATGAAGTTAACTTCATTAATTTAAACAATGTATCAAGTATAAGAGTAAACACAGAGTTTCTTCGCTTCTTCTTAATATCAACAACGCTTAACTTATTTATGATTTAAATCTGTATTAAACGGGATTCGGGTTTTGCCGTAAATTTAAATTCTGTATAAAGAAATTAAAATATTTATAGGGCTTATCTCTGCACTTAAGATGAAACATTAAAATTTTTGTTGACTAAAGGTGTTTTGCCGCTGTGGGAATAGAGCCCATGTTTTCTGGGCGCCAATTCGGAAGACGTGGATTCGATTCCCAAGGCGGTGAAAACCTTTAAGTTCATTTTTCCTACCAATTTTAATTGTCTATAAAGAAGAAAAAAGCCACATTAAAAATGAAAATCATACATGGAAAAAGCTATTCTGAAATATTGTAAATACTTTCATTCTCATTCATAGCCTTAGATCGGATTGCATATTACATTTAAAGAGTAATTCTACGTTTCAATCTTTGCCATAATCACGTACAATAGACAATTTAGTGGCCCGTGCAAGGCCGGATATAGAGTCCGGGGGCCGGAAATCGCTTGGCGGTCGGAACTCTAACGCTCCACAGATAACACGCCGATGACAAACAACCGACGTTATAAACTATTTCGTTTTTAGCTGAAATAAATTAGAGGTATAAACAATGTTCGTTGCAATTTAATTAATTGATCTTAACTAAATCTCGGTTCTAGTTTCAAATTATATGCACCTGAAATAACATCGTAATTTAATAAATTGATTATCTTAGTAGAATATATAATCACATAATTATCTTTGTAGAAATTTAAATTAGCTTCTTAATGTAAATAATTGTTTCAAACTACTTTCAACTTCGACTAAACGCACGGTATTACCATTGCAACAAATAACAACTTTTTGACATTTACTTATAATTTTAAGTTATTTTATCAAGCCGTTATCAATTGCACTTAATGTCTCTTTCATAAACAGAGTACTACTAACACAGGGGATAAATTTTATTACTATAGTAATTTTTGTTTTCTTACGATAAAGGAGTATAACTTCTTACGTACGCACACACACGTTTTTTTTATCCAATCAGCTCTGTCTCGTTGTCGATACGGAAACCGTTAGGAAAGTTAATCAGACAACTTTCAGTGTACGCATTAATAACTAATACTTACCCGAACGGAGCGACGGGAACTTGTCGAGTTTAGACGCCGCGAGAAGCCATGCCGCTAGTTAAAACGCAGCCAGTATTTACTAACCGCAAGCCGCTTTATCACCTGAACTCAGGCGGTTTACGATAGCACAGCGGTATGCGCGGGCGCTATAAATTTGCCCTTTATAAGCGCGCACTTTCGCTGACATGGGAAATAGTTTTGAGGCAGTCTGTGCGCGTCACAGACTCTGTTTATCTCCGCTTTATTGCCCGATAGCACCGCTTCGCTTCTAATCTGACGAATAAAAGTTTATACGGCGTTTTTAGGGAGCCTTTTTACGGTTAACACTTTGTAGACGGAATTAAAGCTTAAATGCTTAATGAGTTGTTTGCGAAGCGCTCAATTAAAAGTTTTTAAGGCGCTTCCTAGCCGCCCGTTTGTAGTCGGAGCGTCGGTGTTCGTACAGAGCGCGTCTGCGAGAGTTCAATGACGTATCAATTACTGATTGTTTTAATTGCAAACGTAATCTAAACAGGAAACGGCGAGGACCGTTTGTTTTCTAACATATAACTTAAGCAATTTCATAACATTTTGCCATTCTGTATTACCGTAAAACTCGTAATTCAAATTCTGTTTTATTTTACAGAAAGTATACTTTCCAGATAGCAAAATTAATAGTCCATACCTATATTAATTATCTTGTCGACAGAGATATGAAAACATCGGTAAATTCTCAACACTATGTTGAACCAGTTTTGAAGTAAGTATACTCGTAGAGTCAATTTAGCGTTCGCTAAAATATCGGTGGTCACAGGTGAAGTTGTGAGTGGTATACGCGGAACATAGAATGCGATATGGAGGAACAACTTCGGCGGGGAGAACTCCCGCGGAACTCAATAATCGCAGTTTCTAAGTCACTTAACGTGAACGATTCACCACGAGCCGCTGGCGGGCCACTCCAGCCTCATCGGTTTCCTCCCGATACAGAATAAACGCTCGATAGCAGCAATATCTGCGAGTTTACGTCGGGGGAGCGTCGGGAGGGGTCTTATTGTATAATAAAAATGTTATGAGGTGACTCTATTCAATGATCGCGGCTGACTGTTATTGAAATCGTTCGGTTCAGTTCTCCCTGGTTTTAACGTGTCTGCGATATTGTTGCCGGTTTCCCGTTTTATGCGAGTCGCTTTTAAATAAAATAACCCCTTAGCGAATCGCGAGCTTATCGAGCATCGGTTTCTTTTCAAATGAACTGTTTTTAATCTGTGGGTCGGGTTGTCGGGGATAGAAGGCATTAGATGCGGAATGTGACGCTTCATTGTAATAAAATTATTTGTTTTAATTTGCGCAGTTGCCAAGGTGTGGCTTCGGTGCCGGGGTGTGTTTATTCGATTCCCACACGAGACAACTATTTGTGTGACCAACAGTTAATTGGTGCGGATCTCTATATTATATATTTAGGGTGATTGTAAAAGTTTCACTAAGGATAAATGCAACATAAAATTACAATTTAATGAGCTAAGATTAGTCTGTTTTATATTGACGATGATAGAATGTCAATCATAAATTTGTAATGTCATGTGTGTAGACATATATCTTTTTATGTCTAACCATTGCTGGGTAAATTCCTCCTCTCTACAAAAGGGTATTAGGACATGTATCATCGATTTTTTTTTATTTTTTCACCGCAAGCAAGTGGTAAATCTGGATTTGATTAACACTTAACAAATCTAGCAGATGGAGGCACCGGGATTTAAAAGTGCTATGGACAAATTGGCGGTATCGCGAATTCCATCACGTCACTTTCAAACGTAATAATGCGCAGATTGTATTTGACAACCACATCGTGCCAAAATAAAAACTCGAAAAGCGGCCAGTATCCCAATGATGCGTCGGACATAGGGCAATAACGCGGCGAGACACGCGGAACCGAAATAACAGAAACGTACCGCCGTGTGTCGATGCAATCCCCGATAGGATGCGTACCTCCATTTTCCCGTCGGTGGGCAAAGTCAATATGTCGTCGGAGATGAGTTATTTTTCCATAATTCTGGCTGGAGCGGCGTCGGCCGTCGGCGGCGCGTCCCGAGAATTCCCAAATAAATAATAAATAATATGTCAGGCCGCGCGAGCTCAGACATGTGCCTCCGCACAGAGCACTGCAAACTCGGTTATGTTTGTTTTTCAGATTTAATATTCAGGGAGATGGCTTTGCCGTTTTAGTTGTGACAAAGTGGTTTTCGTCCCCACATGTGGGAGCGTGCTTTGGGCGCGGGAGTATAATATGAATATGTAAATTTCTGAAGGATATGTTCAATTTATTATAAAAAGCAAAAAATGTATTTCATGATATAAATATCATAGACCTTTGGACGAATTTACGCGAAAACGCAAAACTGTATATTTCCATAATATCTTCATTTGACTAAGGCGAATTTAATAAAAGGTGCATTTCCATTTGCAAAAGGCAAAGTTTCGTTCGTTGTGGCGTCTTGGGGCTGATGAATTGATGCGACTTTATATCTCATATTCGTTCCTGCCGTTTAAGCTTGACAAATAATTACACATTCATACATAAACACTATAGAATCGGAAAAAAATGGAGCTAAAAAATAAACAGGATTTATTTTTTGATAATACATAAATATTTTTAATCCTCTGAATGCGTGGCGTTCTCTGAGCACAAGGGTTGCCATAACGCGTGAAATACATCTTGTAGTTTGGCGGGAAAATGGCTACGGTCTTCACTAGCCGTCACTCTATTGGGACCATAACACCCGTTCAAAAACTTTCACATTCTAAGATAATATCCACGTCCTCCGAAATCCCTTAGGACGCAGGAAAATATTAAATTGTCCGAGTCAAACGTTTATTATTCAATAAATAAAACTTTCTACGAAAACAAAAGGGAAGTAGTGTTGTTTCGTTAGTCATAGTTTACAAACTTGGTAACTTATATTTCTTCATGGGAATCTGGGTGCGAAGGTACTCAAAGGAGAATTAGAGAAACCTTTTATCAAACCGTTTTGTTTGTTCGGCTATTGATTTTGTAATGCCTCTTCGCTTTACATCATTCATTTCAAAAAAGGCCTTTGGTAGCAAAATAAAAACAACTGAACTTAAAAAGAAATGCAAAATAAAAAGACTAATATTAACGCCGCGAATTCTAAGAAAAACGATATAAAACATTATCTACAATATCTTACCTTAAAAATTATTTAATCATCCACTTACCACCATCACATACGATTCCAGAAGGTACTGCATATATGTACCTATATAGTCTTTAAATGTGTCAGTGACATAGAGGTTAACTGTTACTCAAATGGGCAGGTCCTTCTGAGTAAGTAATACTACCTTCTTCGTGATGTTGGGTGAGTGAGGTAGCCGGGGCCCACTTTTTTAAAAGGTGGCAACGCGTCTGCAACCCCACGAGTGTTGCAAATGTCCATGGGCGGCAGTTATCGTTTAACATGAGGTGAACCGCCAGCTCGTCTGCCTCCCCTTCACATAAAAAAAAAAGTTAATACCGCATCAAGATATGCCAGAGATCAACTCTATATAATTCTTGCAAAGAGGGATATGACATAAGCCTATACAGTTTCTACGTAAGACTCGTGCAAGAGAACTACGTCAGCAACTAGCCTACGTGAGAAGCGACTAAATAGGCACGAATTCACAGGGAAAGTGGAAACTGTCCGCATTCAGACGCAAAGCCGTATTTCACAGGCATTCACAGAGGCCCGTAAGTCCTCCGGATCCGAGTAAATGGCGATTGTTCCCTTTGCGTTCAGCGTAACGAGTATATGTTATACTGCACGGCTTGATGCCAAACCGACAGTTTCGGATGCATTTCGCTAATTAACGCGCACGTGCACCGAAGCGGCACCGGTATCCGAAAAATAATCACGGTCCGATGGAAATATCCGAACGCTTCACAAAGGAATTCTTTCGACGGCGGGCGTTCGGTTACTGCTATAATTAACCGGACATGGATATATTTCCTTCCACGTTTAATGAATTCAACGTTCGAAGCGCGGGTTTTTGATCGATGTTGTTCGGCGATACTTTTTTTTTAAAATCTGTATTCGTGTAAGCTGCCTGTGTTTTACGGTTTCGAGTAATACTCGTACAACCTTTGTTATAAATAACATCATTTATTCCCTAGTGCATACTTATTTGAATTAGTGATTTTAAAAATCCATGGGGTATTTTTTATTAGTGTTCCGTACCCAAAGGGTAAAAGGGGACCCTATTACTAAGACTCCGCTGTCTTTCTGTCTGTCTGTCCGTCTGTCACCAGGCTTTATCTTATGAACCGTGGTAGTTAGTTAAAATTTTCACAGATTTTGCATTTCTGTTGCCGCTATAACAACAAATAATAAAAAACAGAATAAAAAAATATTTAAGTGGGGCTCCCATACAACAGACTTGATTTTTTGTTTCTATAGATAATGAATGGTACGGAACCCTTTGTGCGCGAGTCCAACTCGCACTTAGCCGGTTTTTATTACTGGATGTTCCTGCTTTCATTTCGTAGAATACTTAGAACTTCATCGGCGCAGAGTTCATTGAAAGGTCATTTCCCGGGTCTGATTTTAGTGATACTTAACCCTACATCCTAAATCCAACGTCCTAACCTATGACTATTAAATAACTGATCAAATCGTTTACTATCTTGTAAACCAGTTTCACATTAGTACCAACGTTACAACTGTTGTGGCGTAAGCACTTAGTTAAAAAATATTTTGGAGCTCTAATGCCACCTGCATCCATCGTCTTCTCGCCATTTATTTGCCGAATCATAAAAGTATTAGAAAATTTAAACGTTTCCTGATGCTAGTGTCTTTTTTGCAATGGGGTAGTTGACGAATACTGGACGACGATAACACATCATTTAAAAGTCAACTTATGGTTAAAGCATATTATATCTCGACGACGCTAATGTGTGGAGTTAATGCTGTTGATACTCAAGTAGGCTAGAAGAAGACTATTATACCTATATGTTATATTGTAAACTGATACTTTTGAAAAAGAGCAAAGTTGAGTTTCTTGCCGGTGTCTTCTCGACAGAAACTGCTATCCGGACCGGTGGTATTTTACGAACCTATTATAATTGTTTAAGTAAAATTTGACGATTCATAAGAACGCGCAAGCGTCTATTTGAATAAATATATTTTTGATTTGATTTGACTGAGCGGTCAATAGTGAGTGCTAAAAACGTACAGACATATTTCAATTTCACTTTCGTAATTCTTTCGGCATCCGACATTTCGACATAAACGGCACAGGGGCGGCCGTTACGCTCAGGCCTCGGGCGACGGGCGAAATGCGTTGCCCCATCTGTCCGCAATTCGGGCTTTGTCCGCGGCTTCGCCCAAATTCGCGGGCAGCGCCCACAATTTGCACCGGACGCGCCACCCGCTCTCAATGGGCCATAGCTGCACGTGCGCTTAACAGCGGCGTGCGTTTTATACGACATAAGCGTAGCCGCTACTACGGGCGTCTGCCTGCAATTTCATTACACTAATTCGACCCACCGGCCGTCCGCGTATGTGTCGACATGTCGTCGAGCAATTATCTAAGTGGTATAACTACGTAATGCGGCAGCGGTGAGTATTAGCCTCTTCGTAGTTCCAGTCCCTGGAGACGCGGACACAGTTTAACAGGACCTGCCTGCAGGTATTGAGCGATACATACTTATTAGGAGGCGATTGATTATGGAACTCTACTGTATTTTAATATTTTTTCAGCTTAAACCATTTGGGATTACAGGCTTGATTGTGCAACCTCCTTAACGTTGATGCTATGTTATTTAATCATCATCATCATCATCATCTCAGCCTGTTTGAGTCCACTGCTGAACATAGGCCTCCCCGACCTGATGTGTGACGACCTGTGCAAATGTGCGGGAAGTCGATGGATGCAGGTGGCTCGGCTCGTGGCAGTCTATGGGGGAGGCCTATGTTCAGCAGTGTTATTAAATAGATTGATCTAAATAATGTGACATAAAAGGTTAAGTTTCAAAAGTCAGTTATCAAGAACCTTTTAATTTAACTTCAATACCCGTCGGTTCTGATAATATACAGCGTGTCATTACCATCGCGACAATAAATGAACTCACGTCTAACGCTACTTGCCAATAATCATAAAAATATATTAACGTTAAACAAAATCCATAATTAAGAAAAAATATTTTTCAAACAAAGTAATTACGTAAAAAAGAAACAAAATTTGTAACATCCTATACAACTCGCGCCACAGTGTCGCATTACAAGTCTCTCCTTCTAACAGTATGTTTTGTCTCTTTTAAATTCATTCAACCCATTCATACGCTTTGTGACCTTTACAAATGAACTTTACTTTACAGTTTTATACGTAAGGGTGTTCTAAAATTGTTTGTTTTGCAAAATTTAATAACTCGGTAAATATTGATGTTTGAAGAATGTAAATGTTTAATACAATTTTAAAAAGTTATCCTCTATATGTGTGTTCATTTATTGTCGCGATGGTAACGACACGCTGTATAGGGTGAATTTACAAAATCTTGAATGAATAAAACGGTTTGTCAATTGTAGACTATAAATTTTACTGAGCTATAGAAATTAGGATTATTGGGTTATGAAACCAACAGCCAAGTTAGTTTAGTTTGAGTGCCATTGTTAAATTTCAATTATGCCATGCATTATGAATAGAAATTTAAAATATAAAATCAGCGCAGCCGAAAGACGTCCAACGTAGCCCCCTTAAAATCCTTACTAACATTATAAAGGCGAAAGTTTGTACGGATGTATGGATAGATGTTTGTTACTCTTTCACGCAAATACTATCTACTGAATGGATTTTAATGAAACTTTACAATAATATAACTTATACATCAGAATAAGACATACGCTATAACTTATACATATTTTTATGTATAACAATCAGTCTTTCTGTCTGAATGTTAAGCCTTCAGCCTATTTTACGCAGACGTACTCGCGGGCAGCAGCTAGTGCCATAATAAATTACACGGCCATTTGCAACCGATTATCGATTACGATGTCGAAAATATAAAAAGAGTGGCATATATTACATACTAATTATTATTTGAGTTAGAAGAAAATTAAGAGATTTCCTCCAATTTATATTCAGATCTGTTAGATTTAAATAACATACCCAGACATTTTAGCCGTCTTACGGTCGATATTAATTGAGGCCCCAATGATTCTCGGTGGAAATGTGTGCTTTTTCTCTAGGCCGTAATCAGATTCGGCGGGCGAATTAAAGGCTGTCAACAGATTTGTCTCTCACTCCGCTGAATCCGATGCCGCGATCCCACGGGAGCCGGCCACATGTAATTGTATCCTCGGCGACCCAAGCCGCCAAAACAACTCGCCCCCATTCCGCCCCCGAGGTAATTACGAGGATTGTAATAACATAATTCGGGTGTGATTTTTTCTCTCTCCCTTGTCATATGTGTCTGTATCGCGTTACGTACTGCGCAGACAAGTGAATTAAATGTAAAATTATCCAATTAAAATGGTCCTCCAGGTACTATAAATTAAACGCCATAAGAATATATCACTTACAATGTGTATTATTCGCCCAAACCCGGTAAATCATTATACTATAAGCTTTCTGTTAATACTACTACAAAATAAAAAATGTATTTAGTTAAATAATTTACTATATTTACGATAATTCATATTAGTTACTTATTACATATTCAAAATCAAAATCAAAAATAAATTTATTCAAATAGACGCTTGCGCGCTCTTATGAATCGTCAAATTTTACATCAAAAATTATGTATATAGGTTCGTAAGGTACCACCGGTTTCTGTTGAGAAGAGACCGGCAAGAAACTCAACAGTTGCTCTTTTCAAAAATATCAGGGTACAGTATAATATACAGGTAAAATAGTCTTATTCTAGCCTACGTGAGTATCAACAGTATTAACTCCACACATTGGCGTCGTCGAGATATTCCGAAATGGTATAATATGCTTTAATCATTAGTTGATTTTTAATTTTACATTTAAATTGGTCAAGCGGCAGACTTAATATCGACTGTGGGATTTTATTATACATGCGCACACTTTGCCCCATGAACGACCTATTTACTTTTTGTAGACGAAACAAGTTTAACACGTTCATACTAGTTAATATGTTCAATTAAACTTCATCTTGGGTGCAGGGACGAAATTATTATGGGACCACATGGGAACACCAGCTTTCAAATAAAAAAAGAATCATCAAAATCGGTTCACTCAGCCGAAAGTTCTGAGGTAACAAACATAAAAAAAAAATACAGTCGAATTGAGTAACTCCTCCTTTTTTGAAGTTGGCTAAAAAACAATTTTGATTTAGAGAGGTTCCCTGATATATTTCCGAAGTCAAATTTATTTACAAACAAATTTTATTATTATAACGGTCCCAGTATATGGTAAATATTATTAATTTCATTGGTACTTTCATTGGTACGTGGTACGTGGGAGATAAACCGAATCCGTATGCAAAAGTAATTTTTAAAATCAGTTTCTAAATGACGGAGTTCTGAGGTAACAAACAAAAAAATACAACCGAGTTGATAACCTCCCCCTTTTTGAAGACGGTCGAATAAAATTACATAAAAAAACGGTGAATAACAGACCTTGATGTTAGACAACAACACAGATTTCGATGTTCCGCAACCATGTGCACCGCTAATAGGGTGGATATTATGAACTCCAAGAACTCAAGGGCTGAGGACTCTTGCGGGGTACCTTCCGAGGGGTAGGAGGGGGGGGGGGGGGTGGGCGATCTGAGCCATCTCCTTGGCAGTGTGGAAGGAGGGCGAACGAGATTACAGATGGCAAGTTAAGCCTCGAATTAGATACAACGAATTTTGTATGAAGTTGTAAAGATATTAAGCACCTTGTAACGTACCTTTGCTTTGAGAATAAAATATTAGATATCATCCTTCTATGAACAAAACGTCGGCTTTTATTGAAGTTCTGTTTTGTAATAAATATATGATTCATTGTCAAGAAACGCAAAAGTGTACTTCCATATCATGCAGGCTGTTTGTGTCGCCGTGGTTCTTTCTTATTATAATATTCGTACAACAAGCCTTCTGCTGTTGTGGCTAATCACTAATGGTAAAAGTATTAATAGCCTTTTTAGACGGGGAATTATATATTTGGTAGAGATGTATGAGGTTTTATCCAAGAAATTAATGTTCCAAGTAAAATTACTTCAAAGTAATCATAGGCAGAACTCTTTCATTCGCTTTAGACAGTTCCATGCAATTATAATTGACCAAATCTTCTAGGGACTTTTCGCAAATTCATAGGAAGCAAATGACTTGTTGGAGTAGAACCAAAAAGTGTCCTTCTGCAGCACTAGCTTTAGCACGTGGCGTTATTCTAGTTTTTCCGAAACAAATTAGCTCATTCTTTCGAGGTAATTGTATACACATCTGCCTCGTAAGAATATGGGAACGTTCAAGTTCGAACAGTCACAATGGCCTGAACATACAGCACACACACAAACACCCACACATACACAAACTTGTTGACCTTTCCTTCATAATGAGATGGTAAAAAAGTTATGTCTTACGCGGTCGGGTGCAAGGAATGCGTAAAATCAAAGGGGACCCGGCATCAGCGATTGGCACCAACTGTGGAGAGGGCACAATTACTGCAGCGGAGGTCGTCGGTATATCTTGCGGCTTAGTGGGACGAGCGGGGGCCGCTCCAGGCGTCTCGCAAACAAAAACCCCCGCCCCCGGCCTGTTCTTAAATCTCAATTAAGGTACAAAACCGTGTCCCGGGGCCCGCACGTACACTGAATTAAATTAATGGCCTCACATATTGCATCTGCTGCGGGGCTCGTGGCGAATTAATTGCTTTTTTTTCGTCTCTCCTCATTCTGGGCTCCGGCTAAATGTTTTATCGGTCGCCAGTGTTAGTTTATTTAAGAGGTCGGTGGGTGCAATTGTCTCTATTTTCCAGCGCGCGCTTTACTTCGTGGGCGACTTAGATTTATTAGCGTTAGTATAAGATTGACAGACTGATCTTGATTACGTTCTAAAACTGAACAACAAACGCCTCATAGGCCGGTTTGAATTCGTTGAAGAAACGTTAGAAAAAATACATCTGGCTGAACAACCGGCTCAATACAAATAATAAAAATAAAACGTAAGTTTACAAAATTTAACTTATTTACATATTACCATTCGGCGACTGATCACCATATTGTGCGAAATTTTCGCACTATTCAACTTATTTTTATATATAAGCATCTTATTTATTTCAGACAGTTTTTTGCAAAATTTTCTGGAAATTGATATGAAATTATTTAAGTGTCAATCGGCCCGTAATTGCGAGTCTACGTGTTGGCCATAGTCCCTGCTTTAAGGTTCCATTATTAAAACTAAATATTACCTCCATCTTCCAAACATTGCAGACCTTTAGTGAAGCTGAAAACGTCTATTATGAAATAAATAGCAATGTCATGGAATAGCATTGTTTCTTAATTACGTGACGCACCAAACGTTAGGCGCTCATACTTTGCAACTCCGCAGACATGCACAGCCACCGTCCCAATCGAGTTTGGAACTAACTCGCTTACGTAACCGAAATCACTTTATGACGCAATACCGTCTAACTCCGCCTAACATAAACTATTTACCTTGTCAGCGAGCACCGCGTTCCCGGCGCGTGCCGAGCCCGCTACGTACCTTAAAATACAAGATAATCTGCACTCGCGAGATCCCGCGTTGCCACGGTAACCGGCCCTCCAACCAAAACCGAGTGAAGAGTCAAAGCGGAAGGCGAAATAATGATGCAATGAAATATGGCATTTCGCCGCGTAGAGCGTACTAAACGCGAGGCGTATTTTTAGTGATATAAGGAGACTCGACACCTTTTGAGCGCGAAATATGTCGTCACGTATTTATATGGTCGTATTCCATTTTGATATCTGTGGCGGCACTTACTGCCTATATCCGGTTTGATTCTCTAACATTATTGCTTGGATTATGTTTTCGTCCTCTTAAATTTGGCAAAAAAAAATTCCATTTAATACTAATCATGCTACACGTCTTTGATGTAGGTATACACGGTACAAATACCAAAACTACATTTTTTGACAATTATTGTCTGTCTGTCTCTTTGTTCAGGCTAATCTCTGAAACGGCTGAATCAATTTTGACGGAATTTAACTGGCAGATAGCTCATGTAATAGGGAGTAACTACTTTTATTTTAGAAATTTTCGTAATTTATTTTAAATTCCATGCGGAATAAGTCGCCGGCACGGCTAGTTGAATAATATAATTGGGGAGAGTTACTCGATAACAGCCTCTGAATTCGCATACAGAAGGTGGGTACATTTTCTCTATGAGTATACTAAGAGATAATCATGTTAGTATCATCACCTAATATTTTGCAATAACCCAGCAATTATACGTCAACAACAAACAATGGTTGTGGGTTCAATTCAAACCCTACAAGTGAGCAACAATTACTTTGGGTCATTGATTATCCATTAAAAATTTGTACTTCTAAAACTTTTTTACAACACGGATTATTTTAACCTATAGGAAGGGAAAAGTTTATTTGTCAAATTTAATGAGAAGAGATCTGTCGTAACTCGTAACTTACTGCTTTGGTATATATTTAGTATAAAGTAATATAATGAGAATCGAACATATATAATGATATACAATTTAATACATCTCTTATTAGCTATGTGACGTGATTACTATACTGCCTTTAGTATACTGCTTTTGCGTTATATGTGGGCAAGTAATTTTGTTGGGCGTAGAATGCGAAGATATGCGGCGACCGCATTCCGATATGACGGAAATTGATGGAATCATTAGGCCAACAATCTGCGATGCTGCTATATATTATTGTTCTATATCCAATGTTTATTAAGATGAGACTAGTTAATTATAACACACATGGCATTAGTACTTTGGTCCTTTTTATAAACTGATTGAGCGGTCCGGTCATGCAAGGTGCACAAAAACGTTAAAAATCAAGTGGGTAAATCCCAACGGGCTAATTTGAAGATTGCCTGAAAATTTCACCAAAATACGTCCAGTCGTTTCGGATGCCATATATTAATTCTACTGTCAATTTAAGAGTAACGGTCGAACGTAATACCTTATTCAATTACGAGATAATGTCGATCGATTGGTATATTTTTAACCGGCGAGCAAATTAATATCCGGAATTTCATTTACATTTCAATGACGTGTTTAAAAAAGCTCATTACTGGATGTCATGGTGGCGTGATATACGAGAGAGCCCGTAGTGTCCCCAACGCGATAATAACGTATCGATTTCCTGATTTTTGGCCAACGCCCGATTATTTTGCATCTCACATAAATTATCTTTCTCTTAAATACTTATCAACTTATTCTTTTATCGAACAAGGTATTAACACAAATGTGATTGTACGCATGATCCAATGTGGAATAAAGATCTATTTTTAGAGATATGTAGTGATTGGCGGATTTCACAATTATCTTACAGTTGTCTTCTTTTAATTTGCAGGAAAAAGGACAAAATGTTTATCATCTACGCCTTTCTACAACTTTAAAGTAACATCTTAAGTGCAGAGAGTAGAAATATAAAAATTAAATAACAGTAATAATGTAATAATAATGTAATGTATATCTTTGACCGTTCCCTTCACCGTAAGACACTTGGCAAATAGGCACTTAAAACTATTACTATTTTAATTGCTTCCGTCTCCGGATTTGAACACGGACCATCCGATTGTAGTTATTTTAAAAGGAGGCTCCGGGAGACTGAACTACCACATATATATAATTTCAGCTATGCGTATTATTTTTTTATTTATCCTATCTTTAGGAAATTAATGGATCATCAAAAATGTTATGACTTTTCTCATTTACAGACGGTTGTATTTTACACTTAAAGATTTACCGTAATGAATAATTTTATTTTTCCTTTTCTTTTTGCACATTGGCCTAAGCCCTCAAATCGATCCGTCCCTCCATTTGGGCCTTAAACGAGACGCGATAAAATCTATTTACAACCCATCTACGCTCGGGGAATTGAAACAATTAAACGTCTTAAGCATCAGCTGCGTGGAGGCGTTCGGCAATCGTTACATTTTCATAGTCGATGAAGCGAGAGTAAAATTTGCATGCATCGCTCAGGTACATGCGTTAGGTGACAGGGCTCACAGCAGTACCGGCTCGACACGTGTAACAATATGTCGCTCTGACCGAGTTTTGCGGCGTTTTTTTCGCGGCCAGGCCCGCACGTGTGGCCACACTACTACAATGTCGCCGGTGACAATAAATAAGACGTAAAGTCCCATTTTACAGCCGCGAACGGAAGGAGCCAACGAAATTACATTCAATTACGGGGCACAGCGCGCGCGCATTCCGCGGCGGCAATAAAGACGGGGCGGCGTCGGGGGGGGGGGGGGGGGGGGGGGGTGCGTTGCGCGCGTAAATTTTTCGGACGTAAAACCCCGTAAAAGTGGAGTTAGTGTGACGCGGAGCGACAATAAACGTTTATGGAGGCGGTGCCCACCGCGGGCGCGCAATTCGGAGATTGTCCCGGCGCCCACTCAATTAACTCCGGCCCGTGTTGGTCGAAAAAATACGCCGCGACCTCAACCTTCCCCGTTCGCAAAGCAAACAGGAACGGGCCCGAATTAAGTGAACAGCGTACGGCGCGTATAAATTGGGTCACGGGAACAAAGTGAGGGGCTGAGCGCGCTTAAATCTCGTTGTAACGTAATTAACTTTCGCATCTTTTAATTCGCTCGTCTTATTTTGTGTTATGACCACAATTTCTCCTTGAATGAGTGCGCCTTGTATGAAGAACTAACCGTCGATAAATCATTGCGCCAGCAATTATGACGACTCGCGTAGATACGGTTGTTTGCCGCATGTGAAAGGGACCAATAAGTTAATACTACAAAACCACAGAAATACAATAAATATTGACTTCATACTGTAATCTAAATTCATCCGAATCGAAAATAGCTGCTTAAACGACCCGTCATTTTACAAAAATGCGACAAATGCAAAAAAATGGTTAAAAATGGAAATAATTTACGTAATAAATTAGACGATAAGAGGTTACAAATCACAACCGACACTATGAATGGTTACGACTTAATTCGCGCATTCGTAACGTTCATTTGACACGGCAGCCGAAATTACCCACAAACATAACCAATTTTCTTACCTTTGACAAAATCAGCGCACCTCCATTGCTTAATACGTAACATTACCCAAAGGACGCGTGCGGGACAAATACTAGAACGTGCGTACACAACGCGTTTTAAATCGTATACTAAATAGTAATAAAGTTTATTTTGGCGCGATGCTCACTTACAAATGATAACATAAAGCGTTCGTCCATCGCAGACGTTGTAAAAGTAACTTTAATGTAAGGGCTGTCGGCTTATTATTGCTTGGACTTATCGCGTGAGACTTAACCGTGTACTCGCTCGCGGCACTCCGGGACGAGACAAGCGAGCAAATTAGAAAATCTTTCGGGGAATAATTTAAGAAGCGAGGCGGTCGCCGGGTTAACTTTGTTGGGCGCCTCCGAGGTAGTCTGCGATCAAAGCTCGTCGCTCATTTCGGGACCGTTTAATTTGCGGGTGCAGTGGCGTTGCAAATTGGCGGGAATTAGTCTTGAGAAGGCAGAAGTCGATTGCGAATTCGTACTTGTTTGTTCGACGGAGCCAATCCTCTTAAGAGATAGTTGACGCGTCTGTACTGAGCTCGTTTGTGAGGAAGCGAATTGATGCTGTGTCAATTAAGATATGGTAATTTGATGTTTGATTGTATTTGACACAGGCTTTGAGTGCTCATGCGTATACACGCAGACAGAACAAGTTAAGATCCGCGAGATTTTATGAAATGACTAGTGAACTGACTGAAACAATTTTACTTTAAGAGTAAATTTCGCATTGTAATATGTATATTTCATTTTTTCAAAGTGAAACAGACTAAGGGGGAACTGAATGTTTTGGACGACAACAAGGCAATGCCGACGGAAACGCGTTACGGCGATGACGCGTTTATTTAGCATACGATTTTTAAATATTTTCGCTGTATTTTATTGTCATTTATTATTAACTAATATATTAATAATTAAAAAAAATTTACTTTAGCCGCGTGTAAATTACACGCACTTATTTTTTTAAGCGGTGGCCTCTTGATATCTTAAAGAGGTAAACGAAATGTCCTGTAATGTTAAGTTCGTAGAAAACACAGAGTTAGCCACACACATAATCAGCAAGTATTCGACTAAAATATTTGAAATAATACTCAAAATTATCATACAAGCAAGCAATATTGTGTAATAAAAATGGTCGAATTCGGCCCAGTACACTCCTGGCTGGAGTTAAGAAACGTATTGCGGCAGCGTTCTGCCCCCGGCCACGTTTCCTTAACGTAACTTCTTTGTTATAACGAACAACTTCTGTATATTTAATTAGACGGCACTCGCACACAGTACCATTTATAACTCAAACCAGTAAATACATTCAGCTTCACATTGGGAAAGTATGCTAATAAACTGATCAAATTATGAAAATTCATTAATGGTACATACGGATATTTTGTTTATGGCAGAAAGTACAAGTAAAGTACCCATCAAGTTCAATACTATATTTGAACTCGTTAAATTATATTTAATGATTTTAAGTGCTGCCGTATGGATACAATGCCAAATACAATATTCCGTACAAATATTTTATTTTATTTTTTTATTTTATTTATTTGGTTTACCAGCAATTGTTACATTTATACATTCATTAGAATTAGTACACAGTATATTTCTATAGCTAAATGCACAATTAATTAAAGGTAAACACCACATGCGAAGTATCAAGTAACACCAATAAGCTTAACAATAACAAATGTGTACAGAATACAATTTAAAAAAAAAAAAAAAAAAAAGGTAGTGAAAAAGAGTATTTTTAAAATTTTTGAGACTTAATTAAAAATATATATGCTATACGACTAATCTACTCATCGACAATGGTTTCTTGCAAGTGCTTACGAAAGGTATTGAGACTAACAGCATGAATATCAGTTGATTTTCCGTAATTATTCAAAAGTCGGCTCGCTCTGGGGACAAACGAGCTTGAGCCCAATACTGTTGTGCGTAAAGGTGGAACCAATGGTTGGATTTGGGTTCTAGGTAGCTTATTCGGTACATTGAATCTAAATTTACTTAACAGATTAGGACAATCTATTTTATTGTTAAATAATTTGTTTAAAAAGATAAGATCAAGCTGTGTTCTGCGATTTTCTAGTGAAGTATATTTAAAATTTTTCAGCCTATCTTTGTACGAAAACCCCTTCCTACATTGTTTCGAAGAATGAGCTAGATGCCAGAGATATCTCTTCTGTATTCGTTCTAACCTCAGAGAGTGACATGCATAGTGCGGTCTCCACACAATACTACAGTATTCCAGAATGCTCAGGACAAAGGAGTTGTATAGTAGTCTTTTTGTTTCTAGCCTCCGGAATCCCCTTCCAATTCTAATAAGAAATCCAAGCATATTAGAAGCTCTTTTTATGACATTTTCTAAATGGGCTCCAAAGGTTAACTTTTTATCAAATATCACACCCAGATCTTTAATGTATTCAACTTCTTGTATCCTTACTCCATTAATATAGTAACTAGATTTAATAATTTTGAATTTTCTAGAGAATTTAATATAAAAACATTTACCCACGTTTAGTTGCATTCCGTTCAATTCACACCAGCGTGACAAGCCATTTAAATCTTCTTGCAATAGTAAGGAGTCAAACTCAGTATTAATTATTCGTAATAATTTCAGATCATCGGCATATAAATATCGGCATATAAAATATGTACAATATTGCGGCTTTTTCAGAGACCGTGGTATTTCTTGGGGCCAGTCGACTTATCATGCAACAGGAGCTTTTAGCATTTTCCCTAAACATTCCCAAACAACTTAATACTTTTAACAAAACTTTTTTTCAGATAAGTGAAGAAAATTAGTATATTGTAAAGAATGCGCAAACAACTATGCGATCTTCAAATAACAGCCTCGAGCCTGGGTGTATTTATCTGCTGATTTCTAAGATGTTTAAGACACGGGCATCATTCCTTAGTGCGGGAATACTTTAAAAAAGTAACCGTAAACCAAGTCAGTACCTTTCATACCATTAACATTGTCTTATACGTATCCTACACAGAACTTTAGTTCTGCCAACAGTCGAGCAACCGACCGCGTATCACGAAGCTATCAAAACACTCCGAACAACTGCGAAACTTCTTCGGCTGTGAAACTCGCGATCCCCCTGAACCGCGCGTCGAGTTTTCGTATTTTTCTTTCGGGCGCCTCGATGCGTGAACCGCTCAATGTATTCCATAAATCTCGATACACTTATGAATTTCGAGCGGGCGACGCCCAACGAGAATACTTCGGAGTTAAAATTTGTAGAAAGAGTACGAAAAGATTGTCGCCGCTGTGGGAATCGAACCCACGTCTTCGGCATTCGCGGCCAGGCGCTTTAGCCACTAAGTTTAGCTGATTGCCACACATACTTCGGAGTGGTACACTCGGGATGATTAGCGAACGTGCAGTTCCCCAGCGCGGGGGTGAGGCGGGAGATTGATAAAGTTTTGGATTGCGCGGCGCCATTAAGATACGAGTATGGCGTCGGCCGACGTGGGCGCGTCCTAGTAAAATATTGACACGGATCCCTTAACTTATAAAACCGTCCCCGTCCGCGCGGGCAATATGGGATTTCCGCCGTTTTGATGTAGGCCCCGGGCGCGAGTGCCGAGGGCCGCGCGGGGACACCTGGCTCCTTGTCCGTCCCGGGTTTGTTTGCTGATCGATACGCGCCCGCTTTGTGACCGCCGCGGGGGTGGCCCTCGTGCCGCCTCCTAATGCATTTTCGAAAAGTCTCCGAGAGAAACCACCCTTAAAGTAACTGGACTCAACTGATGACTGACAAAATCTCGCGGTGAAGTGTTCCGACAATAGTAATTTTAAATGATTACTAGCTATTCAAAAATGATAAATAAGATATTGTTTTCTTTTCATTACCCTTCCTTATTTGACAGATTTCAATGAATGATAGAATTTTATGAAGCAATGTTGCCGGGAAGAACTCACTCAAACACAAGTGGTGCTGCGATTTTAATTTTATTGCTCGAACACAAACGCACTTCAGACGGGCTTTTGAGTGTTGTTTTATTGCAATAGAGTTAAATGGTTTGAATTTATTAACATGAGTGCAAACACCCATTTCGACTTGAGGCTCTTAATGACTGGTGCACTTTAATGAAGATAGACTTCGAAGTTAAAAACATAATTAAACGTCTTAAAATCCCTAAAGCATTTGTTTTTAACAACGATAATAAACCTGTTCAAATTTCTGATAAATTAAGAGTATCTAATTTATAATTAAAAGAGCATGGACATTAATAAGTAAAAGAGCATGGAGAGCCATGACATATTAGGATGTAAGATCATTTCATATACTAGTGGGAGATCGTTCGTGAAACAAGGTTACCTCAGTGTAAAAACCATTACGAATATTATGTTGTTTTAAAAAAAACAGACATAAGCTTGTTCCATTGGAAATTATGCATAGTAAAGTAAACATAAAACTTACGTATATATAATTATGTCCCATTGATGGGCAAATACCACCTCTGTGATACATACGGTGATAGACTTTGCTCTTTATATCGAAGAGGTTATATTCGGCCAAGTGACCCCACTACCGATTGATTCACATTGGTTCGAAAGATATATTTTTTAGATATGCGGGTTTTTTAAAGTCGTTATCCGCCAACGCTCGTAAATCAGCACTTTATAATGTAGACAACGATTTTGTTGGTGCCGACACGGGGTTTCGAATAAAGGTTGCTTGAGTGTAACGAATTAAAAGTGAGCACACTGAGCTATAGTGACATCTACTAGACCAATTACATGTACGAAAGGAGAAAGTGTAAGAAGCTGATAATCTGCCTAAAACACCTTTCCTTATAATTACTGTGGAAGGTGCAATCCCATGGGTAGGTTCGTCATGGGAAGTAACACGACCTTTCAGAAGACCGGCGTGAAGTGGAACTGTTATACTTCTGCATTACGTCTAGTGTATAAGGTACTGGGCTCACTATATTATAAGGTGGCAACGCATTCGTAACACTACGGGTGTTGAAAACGTCCATGGACGGATATCACTTACATCAGGTGAATCGCAGCTCGCTTGCCAACTTCTTATATAAAAAAGAAGTCTTTCTAGTATAGTATAGAGAATAGAAGCACTCGTAACTAACCTGTGGTCATTAGCTCCAGTGTTTGCAATAAAAACGTATCATAGACAACGATGACTGGCGACCGAAATTGCAAGTAATATAACCGACAACCGGCAAAGCATCCGGGGCGCATGGACACAATACTTAATCGTCTATTTGGAGAGGGTCTGCGTGGAAATGGAAAAATATTTGTCTGGAGAGCGGCGTGCGGTGCTCGGTTCAATTCGCGCACGATGCTCAGTGCACGGACAGTTGATATTAAGCTTTAAACCGAGTGCATAAAGTGTACAATCCTTTGCATTAAACAAAGTTGTACTGTTGCTAACAATTTTATATCGAGGTGGTTGAAACAAGCACGACTAGCTACGCACGTAGCTAGTCGTGCTTGTTTCACGGTTCAAGCACCTGTCGGTTTCCTTGAACAACTTCCGCTTTACAAGCGGTTTAGTGAGTTTAAACACTTGGTTTGATTCTCCTTAAGGTGGATAAATGCGAAGTGTTAGTATATTTGTCCCCCTCGGTATAGTTACGACTGAAGACAATTTAATGCAGATAGCTTGTCACCAAAATTACCAGCGGACACTATCGGATAAAGATCATCTTGGGAGATGCCGTGGTGTAGAGCAATATTTTTTTTTTATCCCCTATAACACATTTTCCGATAACACATATTGACATCTTTCCAAAATAATACGATGACGAACCCTGCCTTACGGATGATATTTGACATCACGCCTGAACATTTTGCATCGAACGAACAATTTGGAATTTATAAAAAGCAAAATTAAAAATTTATTCCAAGACAGTTAAAAGTAATTGAAAAAGGATAAAATTATTTAAAACCTCCAACGTAAAAAATATATGTAACGCGAGATAATAAACGTGAAAAAATTTAATAAGTAGAGTTGATCTCTCGTGGAGTCGGTCTTATTTGTTAACAATAGAGTATCAGTTTTCATAGCATTTCCCTAAGGACCTACCTGTTTGGTGTTTTATAATTGTAGATGTGGCAATAACATATTCAACTACCTATAAACTTAATAAAAAACCAAAAAATATCCGTAGGGGACTGCGATTGGGGTAGTAACGAGTTTATGAAATTTATATTTCCTCATAAATTTGTCTCGTTTGTACACATTTATGGACGAAATTTGTCACTATTTAAGGATACTCTCTAATACCTAATGAATTAGGTGACTAAAGATTCCTAAATTAACTAAGTTGAAATTAAAAACTAAATTTAATTTAATGATTTCCTTACAACTGGAGGAACCACGGGGCTTTTATTATAGTTAGAGTTTGATAACATCCTTAGTAAAAGAGCAATGTCTCTAAGTGTATTGTGGTAGCAACTTATCTTAGGCATTGGAAAAATACGTACGAATACTTTCGCAGATATTTTTAAAACTTTTCGTTCCATTCTATGTTACAGACGAACGATGATTATTGTTTGTTTTATTTCGTTCACAACGCACAGTTTCACTTCAAAAGTTAAAAGTCAAAAGTTTATCTTCATCTTTGTGATTTATTTATTTATTTATTTATTGTTAGGTACACCAACAGCATAAAATATAATCTTATTTATATTTTCTTTGCTATAGGGCCAATTTTTATATATATATGCCTAATATGCCTATTACAGGTATACACAACATTGAAAAGTGTTAAACACACTTATAAACTAAAATAAAAAATAGGAAGTGGACACTAAAGATAAATTATCAGTAGATTAAATTAAACTTACAAAACATCGAATATGCTTGCGGATTAGTAAATTGATATCGGTTCATTAAGTATTCACGTTTACGTGCTGTTGTTCACAAAAAAAAATTTCAAGCTTTTTTATGGCAGCGGTGGAATTAGTGGCATGTGAAGTGACATGGAAACGATCACGTAAGAAATAGATTTTTTTAAGTGCCCTGTTGTAGACGTCCACGGGCGACGCTAGTCACCTAACATCAGGGGAACCGCCTTTTCGTTTGGCAAATTTTCATGTGTATAAAAAATCACACATCATACTTAGACGGTCTTAGTAATCGTAGTGATTTTTAATTAAAAACGACACACAGTGACACTAGTTCTACGGTACCAGAAATCAGCTCTGGTCACGAACGCCGCGTCATTTTGAGCCAGTTTTACGCGTACCCGGATAGAGCCGCAACCGGACTTAAGCCGGATAACTTTACAGTCGTCAATTTCCCCTTTAATAGGGCCGTTCACTTTGCGTAATGACCGCGTAAAGATCCGGTAGCCGGATATGGTACGCCCCGCTAATATATCCGTCAACGGGGGCATTTTATTCTGACGTTATCGACTCTGATAGGATTTGACGGATTACGTAAGCCATATGGAAAAGAATGGGCGAATTTAACACACTATATGACGTCGGAAAGTTCATAGCCCATTAAGTCAGTATTGCAAGGTGATCTAAATTTTCACAATACGACAGAAACGTTTAATGACGATCTTCAGTCGCCGTCAGTCAAGACCAAATTCAATGTGCCTTGGCTATATCAATATCTTTCACTGTGGTGGAGCTATGTTACAGCTTTTGAAGTTGATCAGACTTGCAGATGATTGGCATGGAGTAAAAAAAGTGTGTGCATGTAACCTTTACGCGCGATTGAAGCAAAACTTCTTTGGCGTTGACGGCATAGATCACTGAAATGATTAAATATTTAGTAACGTCATAAGTATATGTCATATTTTAAAAATATGACATATACTTATGACGTTACTTCCGTCAGAAAAAGCGTTACTTCCGTCAGAAAAAATCTGAGTTACTCCCTAGTCGCGCCTAAAGAAGTTTTACTTAAAAATATTTATATACATATTTACATTTAACATTATTGATATAAGCAGTACCCACTCTGTAAATGGTTGGAAAAGCAATTCATATCAGACGGTTTTTTTATGTCAATGTACAGTTTATAACACATAATATTGTTGTGTTCGTTTATATTTATGAATACTTTTACTACTTATCAGCATTGAAAATATAATCAAGATGTAGTGAATTTTGTGACTTTGGTAATCTTGACTTTTGAGCTCTTCCGTATAACATTTTGCAAACTAAACTTGAAACCCAGTGACATGTACTCGCAAATAGTTCGCCCCAAGCGAAGCGTAAAAAGCTTCTCGGCAGAATATCAATTTAACTCCGCTCAGTTTTAAACGTATAAAGCTGCTGAAATTAGTGGGAGCGCGCACGCTCCCTGTTTACACACACCCGCTGAATATTAAAATCGGCGCGCTTATAGTAAGCGGCGAAAAGTCAAACTTGTTGCGTCGGGGAAAACTAGCGTTTCCCGACGTAGCGCCGGAGCGTGACATTAAAGGCGGGCACGGAGCGAGCAGTTGGCTGCTGAGAGGCGTGCGATATCGAGTTAGCGACTTGCACAGACCAAACAAGACGCCGAGCGGGCTTCCTGCAGTAAACTACTTAAATCTCGACGCTTCAGCGCCGCAACGGCCGAGGAAACTTGCCGTCTATAGCCGGGATTAAAGTGGTTACGATAGACGCCACTTTATACGTGCGTTTATACGCGAAGGATTTTGTCTTGTATTGCTGAAGCGATAGTGGCTGTTTTTGGTTAAAACTGCAGCATGGAACAGTGGATTGACACTGGCTCTAGAGCCTTTGACGTGTGAGAATTGAACTTGTTCTGTTCCGAATTCCGCTCCATGTTTTCTCGGATGAATGCTTGGTTTTCCGAATCTTCCGATCAGTTTCATCAATATATTGTAAACTGGCAACCCTACCCGGCTTCGCACGGGTGAAACGTGTAGCACACGTGTAATGTGGGGCAGTGTGAAGTGATTAATAATATGATGATTATGATTAGTCTGTACTACAGGATATCTTTATATACAATATTTACAACTAGACAGTGCAAATATTTTTTTTTAATTTATTACATTGATTAAAATTAAAAAAATAATTTATTTGATATATGTAAGTGCACAAAAATATGTTTGTTACTACATCACATTACAAATCTTTTAATTTCTCGGCTTTTCTCTACTATAGTATGGATGTATACTACATATAAACCTTCATCTTATTACTATTACTGAAAACTGCATTAAAATCCGTTACGTAGTTTAAAAGATCTAAGCGTACAAACAGCGGGAGGGACATTGTTTTATACTATGTAAAGATAGCAAATTTATCCCTGTCTAGTTCGTTTAGTCGTACCATTGCCAGTATGATATATATTTCATATTTAAAGTGCAATAGCACTTCATGGAACCGTGTAGTATTGATTACACAAGTACCTAGCATCAACTGGTTTTATACGAAATCGCTGAAATGGCAATGGGCCGGCCATATAGCTCGGCCGATAGTCGATGGGGAAGTAAGGTTCTCGAGTGGCAGCCTCATATTGACCACCGTAGTGTAGGACCTCCTCTCACTAGATTAAGTGACCTAGAGGTTGCTCAGGATCGTGCTTCGTCGCGGTTTGTGGGGGAGGCCTATGTTCAGCAGTGGACTCAAACAGGCTGGAAGGATTTTTAGAAATTTTAGAAATTTTTGACAATTTTTTTAGGCTGAAAGGATGATGATGGTGGTGTTGATTCGAAGTATCGATCTAGCATTAGATCGTTGTCAGAATCATTTTACATATAACCACTTACCGCACCATTACATGGTATAATTTCAATACTTATCGATTACAAATGATATTAAGGCGATGTTAAGACGTAAGTATTATAGCCGAATTACGAATTTTACTTTTATATGTATACATATATAGGAATGGTTATTCAAAAGTAAACCTGTCCACTTCATTGTATTCTCCCTCTAAAGCGTAAAAGCTCACAGAAAGCCCCGGACAATTACATTCAAATTGTCGGAAAGAACCCACCTGTTGGTCGCTACCAGCATAAAGCGGGTGAATGTTCTCGAAAAAGATTTTATTGGTAGAAAATGTTGGCTCCCGACGACAGATGTTCTGCGGAGAGATTTGCTTCCAACTTGCCGGAAAGTTGTTTGCGAGCACTTCTCAAGTGGCCAATGAATACTGATTCGTAGCGAGTGTGCGATAGAGCTTATTGTAGCTTACTTCCACCCGCCTTCAACGTTTAGTGAAGAACATTTTGTCGGAAATCATCTACTTACTTAAATTTTAATAAAGCAACGACTTTTCTTTTTGTTTCAGCTACAGTTAATTTATTAAGATATTATTGGTCTTTCATTTATCATGTTATTTTATTAATATTTGGAATGTAAATGTATAAAAACTTCTTAAAAAATCATCACAAAATATGATCTATATAGTCTTAATGTATCATACATTTTAATTTATTTATTATTATGTTCGTGTATTCTCAAGCAATATTTTATTAACATTCGAGGCTGCTGCGTGGCCCTACCACCGTAAAGTGGTAGGGCCACGCAGCAGCCTCGGCTGCTGCACGAATGGACAGGCTCGTCCGGGTAAGTAGCACGACCTCACAGGAGACCGGCGTAAAGTGGATGATACTTTCGCGTTTCGTCTGGTGAGTGAGGTGGCCAGAGCCAAATTTTCAAAAGGTTGTCAACGCATCTGGAACCCTCGGGTGTAGCAGATGTCCACGGGCGGCGGTATTCACTTAACATCAGGTGAACCGTCTGCTCGCTTGACAACTTTTTACATTAAAAAAAACGTATGATTAAGGATAGTCAGGCTCAGCCTAGTTTGCACTGTAATAAGTATCAAGTCATTATTTTTTAGAAGTTGTATACACCAACATATTCTTTCAAATATTCAAGAATTTTCAACGTATCACAACGGCCCACTACACAAATGAGGCGCTCCGTAATTAATTATTATGCAAATTCGGGCGACTGAAACAAAAACAAAACCTACCCGTAAGTGTAAAACAAACGTGCACACGCTAATTGATACGTCGAATCAACATAAAAAGTGTGGACGCGATAGCGGTTGCGCTCCTCGCACGGACCAATTACCTAAACACACACAACGCGTTCAACCTCAAATTTCACTAATGAAAACTTCCACAAGAGCCCGTGGCGAGGGCACTCCTTATCGTCCATCTGAGGCTTATTGCCTTCGCGCGTCCGTCATTAACGTTCGCCCGTGCTCTTCATGCTAAAACAATATGTCCTGAACTCCACGCAACTCGCGTCAGTTTAGGCTGATTAAAACACGTTTTTATATCCACTCCGCCCCACCGGCGATGTTAACATTGAGCACAACGAAATAAAGGAGTCGCCAACAAAACGTGTTACTGGCGACATTATCGCCGGATCTTTATGACGTAACAATGCGATCGCCTTTATTAGATCCCGCGCTGTGGGGGATTCCCGGCCGCAGACAAACGTAGAGGGGCAAAAGAAAGTGAGTAAAGAATTTACACCAGCATACCCCCGGTTGTCTGTATCGGTGTCGTTTGCATCTGAAATCCTTCGAGTCGGGACTATATTAGAGGGGGAATTGGCCGGGATCTTAATTTATCGAAGTTTTTATGGTTTAATTAACGGAATTCACTTAGGCGAGGGGCGGGCCGCGTCGCACTGTCGCCTGCGCGGTTGGCGCTTTATTTTACACTAATAGATGTCCTCCCTGTGCCGCTATAATTAGCTCGGGCGACGCCATTGAAAGTTTTAATTGAAAAGCCTTTGTGCAGTTTTATAGTCTGTGGACGGGTTTTAGACTGTGTTTCACGCGGACGCCTCAGTGGGTTATCTTCGCGCGGCTCGCTTTGTTGCCCTCTCTGAGCGATGACTGGCCGAAACGCACCGCTTCATTATTAAATTCACCACCGATAATACCCCAGTGTCGGTGACTTTGAATGGAAAATTGAAAGGGCATTGGGACCGTGAATTACATTTTCTTCGGTTACGCTTATATTATCAATTTTACTGTACCCAGGCTGTATTGATTTTCGTTGCCTGAAAGAGCCGAGACATAGTCTGGATACCATAGCCTCAAGAGTGGGCTTAGTAAGTCAATGGACGTCTCTCTATTGAATCATTTACCTGGGTGTAAAGTAACAGCCTATAATTGTCCCACTGCTGGGCAAAGGCCTCCTCTATACAGAGGGTATCAGGGCATAGTCCACCCCGTGGCCCCACTGCGGGTTGGCGCACTTTTTACCTGGGTACGTCCTGCACTATTGCGATTTTCTCAAATAAAAAATCTTACTCCTTATGCCTTCTTAGTGTTAGCAAATGGGTTTAATTAACTTCCCACGGGACAAAAAGGGATTACGCGAGCGAACTTGCTTGAATAAGTTAAACTTAACATTTTAAAAGGTTAAGGGTAGGTACAGTTAAAATGTAAGAAGCACCAAAAGCATTAAAATTGCATAATTAATAATCTTCTACGGATTATAATGCTCCTTTTTAACAGACTTCAAAAAGGCAGGAGGTTTCTCATTTCGAGTGTATATATGGATTTTTTTGTGAGTTCGCGGATAACTTCATGATTCTTTTTGTTTTATTTATTCGTAAATGGTAGGCAAAAGTTTTAAAGAAGCTGTTCTAGAGTGATTTCAAGCGCATAATATTCAATGATATTCTAGGAAGATTATAATATTCGAACAACTTTAGTCCTTAGCAACAATATTCGAATTTTATTGTATTTTTAGCAGCATAGAAGCGACATAAACCGGCGTAGAGTGGAGGTGTTACTTTTGCGTTTGAGATTGTTGTGACTGTGCGGTATGAACATCAAGTGAACTGCTAACTCACTTGTTGTTACGTAAAAAAGATCACAAACATTTCGACGATAGCACCAATAAATTCACCTTGTTATCCTTACTCGGGCCTTTTGAGAGCGATTCCAAAATTAATTCACCCCGCGGGGAGTTGCGAGTTCCTAAACTGTAAACCGTAGCCTCCTGCCCCAATTATTGTAACGTTTATTCTTTATGGGGTAAACAGAGGCCTATTTATTGAGGTGCATTATTAGAATTAATTTGTTTGTGTTGTGTTGCGGACGCGGCCGGGCGCGACTGAGTTGTTCGCTCGTGAAAAGGCTGTTTTGATATTTAAATGAGGGCTCGGTATGATTGTTGCTTTTCTCCTTGACGGGCAATGTTGTACGAGTAATTTTGGTTCGCTTTTTGGGTCTTTTAATCCGTATGCACGCTTATACTTTACTAGCTGCTGAACGCGACTTCGTCTGCTCAGAAGTACTTCTAGTAGCTTAACAGACAGACAGAGTTACTTTGGAAGACCCTTGTATCTTTATAAATTATAGTCTATGTTATATTCAGATGTATGAGCTATATTATAGTAAAGTTTCAACATAATGCATTGGGTAGTTTTTTCATGAAAGAGTAACAAACATCCATACATACAATCTTATATCATAGGTTCTTTTTGTTCCGACAACATACAGTTTCACTACTAAACCGTGTATATACTAGGAATTCCATATGAGACATAAAACATGACAGTTTAATCTATGCTACAATCGTATGCCCGAAAATATTTTAGTGTTTAAGACAAAAGCAAGGAGCTTTCATTGGGCTTGTGTGGTTACTGCCTTGTAAATCAAAAACATTTTATGAGTGGTTTATCGACAACTAGTTACATATGATATTCGCTGGCCCCAGTTGCTAATCTGTTCGATGGCGGGGGTCGTGGGTTCGATTCCACCACGGGAAAATTATTTGTGTGACCCACAGATAATTGTTCCGAATCTGGGTGTTTGGTTCCATATATAATATATAATTCATCTAGGTGGTATAAGGACAGGAGAAAGAAGAATTGGTTGAAAATTTGCATGTAGCTTACATGCAAATTTTCAACTAATTCTTTCAGACCTCTGGGTCTGGAGTTAACTAACCATTTCAGCAAAAATATTTTATAAACATTTACAAATATTGTCTTCGCGTTGTGCTTTAGTTTTTAAATCGCCTATTGTTTTTTTATAAGTTATATATTATTCAACACATTACTGTATCGCTATATTGCGACAGTAATTTTGAAGTTACAGTTCGCCCGTTTCTAAATTGCTCCAAGCATTATCTACGAAGCGAGCTTGGAATTTATTGTCTTGAAACCTTTTTTTTTTTATCAATTCGATTTCAATTCAACGTAAGAAGATTCTATATGTATAAATTTAATATTACAAATAAATGACGATAAAAAAATAAACTAACAGAAATACAAAAGCTTTTATGAAAGCTTAACCATAAACATTGCGTGTTTAGAGATGCTGATTAGCCTTTCACAACAACGGAATAAATCAAGAATTCGAGAGCGAACAATCTGTTTACTCTAAAATTCGAATTTCGAACACGGCGAAACTTCGGCGAGTCTCAGGTTATGGGCGGACTGAACAATGGCAGTTCGACCACGCACAGGGCCAATGAGGCGGGCGTTGTTACGGAATTAACAGGCCACTTCATTAGGAGCGGCAACAATGGATTCGTAATTATTAATTAGGGCTCCGCAACTCCGAGCCGGGATCGGGCGGGTCCCGTTACAACCAATTACGGGTGTCGCGGCGCGTTAAGCGATCTCCCTAACCATCCGCGCTTCCTCGCCCGCTCCGATGTTTGCATGATCATTCTCAGTGACGGTAGGGCTGCGCGTAAACGTGAACGTAACGTCACGCAAATTATTACAGACTCCCTTTAGTAATCCCACACTATTCCATAGCGATGTAAACCCGCTCGTATGAATCGGGGATAGATTATTATAAAAGAATATGTCATAATTTGATAACTCTGTCAGTTATTCCTCACTTATCTTTTAAGTGACTGTTCGGATTTTATTTTTTGGTTATTAAATCTCCGTTTTGATGGAGTATCGAGGGTATTCTAATTTTAACGTGATTCTTCTAAGGCGGCGATTCGATAAGTTTCTTTTTTTTTAATATCATTGTAGAGGGTCAGCTTAAGCTTTTACAATAATTAAAAAGTAATTTGTAACATCCATACGTATCATAAAACACAACCTCTCACTGTCTGTGGATATTAGGGTGCCAATTGTTTTAGAGTCAGTCATCAAATTTTATAAATATTTTAGTATGAAAACAGCAAACTAACGTAAATCATTAGCGATTCAATGCGAGCAGAGTCATAGACACGACTAGTCTAATTTTTTAGGGAAAAAGGGGGGCAAACAAGCTCACCTAACTGAAAGTGATCACCGCCCATGCACATATGCAACATCGTTGAGCATGAAAATGTGTTGCTGGCTTTTCAGAAAAAAATATGCGAAAAACTTTAACAATTAAAATAAATAATAAGTACCTGGAGGACCGAACTTTGCTCGGTTTGTTTTTTTTTTGGTAATTCGTGTATTTTGGAAATTACATTTAGATACAAATTACTGAGTAATGAAATATGCATAATATTTTTCGATCTTACCGACGTAATAATAAGAAAATATGAACTGGTATCTTTCACAAAAGAAAGAACTTTAAAAAAAATGGAAAAAAATAACAAATCTACAAAAAATAAAGAAAGCAATGATCTGGAATCGAAAAAAGAAGTAAAAAAATAAGTGTGTAAATGATCGTGAGGGCGCTTGTTTGTGCCAACCCTAATTTGATCGATCCGCGCTATGAGATCGGGGGAGGCTCCATCGGAATTGCGTTCGGCGACACGGAATGATTGCGTGTCGACACTGCATCAAACCGAGAACCTCGCGAAACAACCAACTCTCGCGTTAGTCACAGCAATAGTGACGTGGATATTCGCAATGGAAACTTGATGACTGTTTGAACAACATACCTACGCGGTTCAAACGAGAACTATCGTATTGGGTAATCCCGTACATATAAAAAATATATTGTAACAAATTCCTTATCGTACTACATCGACTAACATTTCAGTAGTATACCGCGCAGATGCAGACTTTTATGTTCTGCGCAATGGAAAGTAGGTCTCACAGAAGCTAGGTTTACGAGGTAACATGTAATTTAGTTAGATTTACTAATATTTTTCCAACAGAAAAATATTTTTACTACGCATTTTGTCCGGCGAGTGAGATGACCGGTCTACCTTTTTAATGGCTACTATTGTTACTGCTGTGAATAGGTGGTAGTAACCACTTAATATGAGATGAACAAGGGTAAACAATTGATCAGAAGATAAGTTGTCATGGTTGTTCCTTCATAAAAGGAAACCGGTGTAAATCTATTCCATTTCGATCGAGCAACAAACCAACAAACGGGTGTAATCGATTCCGAAGCCCCTTACGAGTGTTCAAGCCGACGTGTTTTAATAAAAGGCAGATTACGCGATCGGCCCGCCGCCCACATTATGGTAGGCGCCGAAGAATGTCATATAAGGCGCAGCTCGCTCGGATACATTTTACACCTCGCTACGCTCTTCCTAAATCTGTTGTCATTTCGCCGCGATCCCCTGGAAATAGCGGCGGGAATCCCCCGGATAGTTGCGAGATATTAGGAGCTATCTCTCACCCCTTCCCCCCCTCACTTTCACCCCAAACCCGCTCAGAGAACTTCATCGTTTTAATATTTTAACGCGCGGAATGTGTACTTCGGCTACACTACTAGAGTTCAAATGGAACTCGCAGTGGCGTGTACAAATGGACGGAACGCTTTGAAAAATCCCACGCCGGAGTTGAATCTCCACAGCACGCGCTTTAAGTACGTTGTGAACACAGCTCGTTGGCATCCTAACGGGAACAGATTGTTACTCCACCAGCTGTTTGAATGTGAACCCTATTTACTGTCAACAAAAACTTTTGTATCATATCGCTCATGTTTTTGATAATTTCTCAAATTTTGCAAGACCGTTGTAGTGTACATTTTTGGCACGTTTTTTTCTGTTCATTACAGAGACGAGATACTCGTATGCGGACTTCCGGTGAATCGCCGCCTACATTTGTTCCGCACGGTATTACTTTGAATAAATTGAACTCTAAGTATATATTATTTCCTAAAGTTTTTTTATCTGCACGCCGTTACTACCATAATACTTCATAAAATTTAATGATTCACACATCATTCAAAAACGTTATGATTGCCGCTATTGGAGAGAAAAAAAACTAGTTGAATAAAGTAAACGTTTTCATAAATAAAAAATGTTTCAAAATTTCTTATAAAGAGTATATGATTAATTATATCTATTGGCAATTCGTTTAAATGAAAGATAGTGAAGCAAACTGAAACAAAACCTTCCATCGTTAAATACTTATTTATATGTTGTTATGCATACTCGGTAACTGATCACGGTACTGTACAACGATTCCGCACGTTACATATTACTAGAATTCCGTAAACGACCAGCGGAACAAGACCCTCGAACTAAGCTGCTTAAGCGTCCGATGCCGACGGTCAATGGGAGGAATCAGAGCTCGACCCGGCAACGCGCCATTTGTGTCTTCCCGCGCGCGCGGACCGGCAACAATGAACCCGGCTGCCCCACAATGCCGTCACGCATGGGCCGCTTTTAATTCGCCGAGAGCGTATCGCATCGCGCACCGGGAACGCTTAAAACGCCCGCTCAAAAGAACCCGAGTCCTTTATTCCCCGCGGCCCGAGGTTTCGTTTACAAGATCAACAATCGACGCGCCGAAATGGGCGGCCGATCGATCGATTCGGAAGTAATTAGAGACGCGTAGCCTCTCGGGCGTACGATGTTTTGTTGATAATTCAATAATCCCGCCTCGGGTGGATCTCTTCACGACGTCTGCCGACTACTCCCGCTCCCCCCCCCCCCCCTCATTCCGCCCATCTCCGATAACGCGCGGAATCGGTTATTCTGTCATTTTTTCCAATTTCCGGAACGATGCTCGACGTCTAACCGTCGAAACTTGTTCGAGCGCCGAAATTCGGACTGATACGAATAAAGTTAAATTGGCAAAGTCGGCTCACAGGTGTATTATACACAGACGATATCCGTTGCGATCCCCCGAAACGATTGCGACAACATAAATTACTTTGTGACCATCGGCGGGTGCGTTAAACGTTCTGTGATAGCGTGCAATAACTAACGTAATATGTAGATTTTTCACTTTTATGACGAGCCAAAGCCGGCAATAAGGCGGCCAATTTGTTATGTGTCGACGTAAGTGAAAAATATCGCCACGCGGTTAGTTGCGGGGGAGTGTTGTGGGGGCGAGGGCGCGGGGCGCGGGGAGGGCTGCGTGTTCCGTATATGGGGAAATGGTACAATTAATTAAATTAGCACTTAAATGTATGTTAACATTCACCGCGGGCGCGCCGCAACCGCACTGCTGGAAGCAACGCCGCGCCGGCGCGTTTATTAAAACTATTTATCTTTGGAACGATATGGAAAGAGGTTAGGAAGGGCTTTCTTTCGTTTTATGTAACATTACTTACTTGGTGTAACAGTGAGAAATTGCAACAGCTTTCTACATAATATCCTCGCACGGAAAACGCTGTGTGTCGAGTTAACGATAGTACTACCTAATAACATATGTAAAGATTTAATGATGAAAAATCAAGGCACACATATCTTCCTAATTTAACTGGTCAATCCATCTTGTAGGGTTCGTGATGCACAACGATTGTCTGTATCAGATTTTCCTTAAAGAAACTTTCTTTCCCAAAGGCATAAATAATAATGAGATAAATTTACCGGTATGGTTTACCTCTTGCAATCTATTAGTTCAACTGTCTTCTCTAGAAAATAGCCATACTTCGAAAAGAGTATATATATATATACCTACGTGCCGGATATATTTCTGATTCGTACCGAAAGTAGCACCTTTCATTTGTTCGCAATGTAAAGTGACAGCCGTTATACGTTCCGTAGCTGGGCAAATGCCTCCTCCGTGCAGAGGGTATTAGGGCATAGTCCACCACGGACCCTCCCTCCCCGGATTGGCAGATATATATTCGAATTTTTTTATTATTTCGAAAATATTCAGGTATTCACACAATATTTTCCTTCACCGCTGAACATGTGACAAATCAGCACTTAAAATGTCATTGATGCTGGCACTGGGGATTGAACCCAGGTTGCTCAAGAGTATTGAATTGAAAGCGAGCGCCTGGACACTGAGCTATCGTGACTCTGTTCGAAAATGGCGCGTAAATTCAAGTTTGAAATTAATCCACTTAATGCGCGCTTCGATTCGCGACCGCGCCTACCATTTTATCATACCGCCACCGACCGTTCCATTCATTAGTGACCGACATTCACACGGTCAGTTGCAATTTACGCCTTATTCAGTTGTCATTAGGCACAATATGCCGTAACGGGGTTAGATTAAGCGGACGTGCCACTTCACTAATGCTTAATGGAGGTGTTGCCGTTTGAAATATTAGCCGACGACGTGCTGAAAAATCGCTAGATAATTTACTAGTCGTCCTTTAACTATACCTACAATAATACATGAATATTTTATTTAAAAAAAAATTGTTAGCCTTTGTATTGTACTTTGTATGGAAGGGGTTGGGTAGAAGTCCTAACTACCATTGCGACCTAGAAAAATATATTGTAGTCTTGCCTTCGAAAACACAGCCCCCTTACTGTAGCATAACATTAAAGTGTTGTAAGGACGTTTTCATACATAAATTTCACGCGGACAAACACCCAGATCCGGTCTGAGGGTTACGCCAATAGTTGTCTCGTGTGGGAATCGAACCCATGAATTCCGGCGCCGGGGCCAATACCTTGGCAACTGGGCCACGGAGTCATCAAATTGCTACCGTTTACTTTATGTTCGACGTCATTGTTGATAATTTTTGTGGCTGTCTTTTTTATATGAAAAGATTTCAAGCGAGCAGGAGGTTCACCTGATGTTAAGTGAATACCACCGCCCCTGGACATCTACCACACCCGAGGGTTTGCAGATGCGTTGACAACTTTTTTGAAAATTGATCTCCGGCTACCTCACGCGCCAAAGAAAACGCGAGAGTATTATGGCTTCCACTTCCATTCACGCCGGTCTTCTCTGAGGTCGTGGTACTTACCCGGACGAGCCTGCCCATTCGTGCAACAGCCGAGGCTGCTGCGTGGCCCTACCACGGTTGTTGGACACCATCATTGGACCTGGAACAGTGACCCAGGCTGCGTCACTCATCTGACGCGATACAAATGTATAATTTTTTTGTGAGGTTTTTGTGTGAGGTTGCAAAACATTGAGACGAGCGAGACCATTCAGGCAACAGAAGAAACTGCTACGTGGCTAAACCAAAGCAAATGGTTGAAATCAAAGAAAAATTTCCATTATAAAGAAACTTATACAAAAAGAAGTAAGACGTTTCTTTAGCGTAAAGCATTAAATGCAAGAGATAACGGTTTATTTACACAACATGGTATTATTGTTAAATGTAAAAAAGTTATTGGTTCCTAAGATTAAATTGGTTGCCAAGCATCATGTCGCTTTTTGAAATTCGGTGTGCGCGAGCATCGTAAAAATTTTACCCTCATAATTTTTCCAAACGCTCCATAAGTAATATAACTTCAAAAACTGCTAAAGAAAAGAACCAGACCAATAGACGACACCGTTACAGTCCAAGGTTTTATTTTCAAACAATATAATATCCGAGATGATGAAAGATTAGTTTTACATACAATATGAAAAGCCCTACGTGGCCTTTTTAGATTCACATGTAAAAATACGTAAGCATGCAAATTATAATGCAATAAAGATGAATATAGTGACGTGGCTAGTAGCTAATTACTTTTCACTCTTCGCACAAGTCATTACCCTATTGTCATGTTGAATTAGATTAAGTGAATTGTCCTTTACGAGTTTTTTATTCCGCTATTGCCGTCATAAAATTCAGCTAGTTTTAGAATACGCTCGCGATATGATCGTCAGAGTGGCTTATTGTTAATTGTGCCGTTTGTTTAATAACAGGGGACGGGATGGACTTTGTGTGGACATTTTATCTACTAGTTTTATATCGCTTTACGAACATATACTCAAATGTGTATATGTATGTAAACATATCGCTTTCTCAAGTACTCCCCTTCCATTCAATAATAAGTTTGTACCGTACCTTATTTCCCGAGGATGGAACTTAATACGTCTTGGAGATATCAAATTATTCTTTACTACTAAATGAAAAGGCAGAACAGATTATTTCTTGTTTTTATTTTAAGTCTGAAACACTGGTCCAAGGATTAAGTCGAATTATCTTTGTGCGAAAAATAAATATACGGTCTTACTGCCACTTTAGATCGCTAAAAATCTTTCTTTTTTTTGTAATTTTGAACTCAGTACTATAACCGAACTATAGTCATTGGGCTAAAACCAAATTACTGAAAACCAGTTTTATAAATGAAACAATTTTTACTTTTGAAGTCAAATTGTAAGGTATTTATTTACGTTTATTTTTAATTTAATTTCCCGACATTTCGTTTAAAATATATAATTATATAATCCATACTAATATTATAAATGCGAAAGTATGTCTCGCTTTCACTCCAAAACTACTAAACCGATTTAAATGAAATTTGAAACACAGATAGTCTAGAGCCTGATAAAGGACATGGCTTTTTAATTGGAAAAAAAGTGTTGTAAAGTGTTTAAACATATTTATTTAAGGGCGAAGCCGCGGGCGAAAAGCTAGTATAATATAAAATTTAAAATAACGCATTTTGAACTCCAGTTTTTACAAATGGATGTTTGTTTTTATATTTTATGTGATCAATTGGAGCGGGAGGAAATTTGAATAGGATTTGAACTTGCTTAATATAAATCTTCTTTTCCTGCCATTTTCCCAGCCGACGACAGATCAACGTGGCGTGACTAAAATTCTCAAACACAGAGGTCACGACCCTCATCATTGAGGACATAAGACTCTAAGATTCCTCCTCGAAGGATCCCAGCTTGGTAGAGTTGACACAATTTTTTTATGACCAGCTGCCTGCCTCACGTGAATTCTCCTTAGGCACGAACACCCAGATCCTGGACAATTGTCTGTGGGACACACAAATATTTGTTTGTGCGGCAACAGAACCCATGACCCTCGGAATCGGAGGCTTAGCAGCTGTGCCACCTAGTGAAATTAACATGCAGTACGTTCTTAAATAAAATGCCTTTATAAGTGAAGCCTTTTTAAAATGTATTTAACGTATGTACCAAACGGTTAGTTTATGATGAAGTAAAGTATCGATTTATTAATAGACAACAAAGACCAGAAACTATCTTACTAGAAAATACTTATAAAGGGTCATTCAACACCAAACCAATTAAACTTACCAAGTTTGAAACGCGATCTCTGAGCCTGTCCAATCAAACTTCAATAATAACGTATTCATGCGTCTACGGCAATATTGCGACAAACATACGTACGTTCGGGGTCAGCCCTACTCGCCGGGGCGAGCCGAGATTCAGAGCAAATAGGTTTAGGAACAACGGAGTTCGTTCCCAGATTGCGCGCCGATTTGCGGGCCCAATCATCCACTCGAGACGGCACCGCTGTCTGCGGTTCGACCCAATCGCTTTCGCGACCGACAGATCTGCTAAAA